TTTAACTTCAATGTATTATTTACATTTACTAGATGTTTACAATATAAGTACTGAAAAACAATTCTCATTCATAACTTTACACATTTACACTACTCACAAACAGCTCAGTCAGACATACTGCAACATGACAGAATATCAGGTTGACAGTTAATACAACCTCCATTAGACAAGTACAATGACATCAGACCAGCAGTCACAATGGCATCTGGCCAACAGGTACATTGACCACAAAACTTCTGAGCAGACAGCAATTTTTTTTGTAAAAACTTTTTCATCCTTAGCTAAATGCCTTTAATTATTATATTGAGAGGTATAGTATCTCAAATCATATGATCAGACTATACTGTCTGCAATGTATAACTCAAATAGACCATATGTTAAAACTTCCTCTCCCTCCCCTATTTACATGTCTTATGGAACTAACCCCAAGTTTCATGTTGCTCCAACCATTGCTAAGGCTTATGGTCACTTCCTTACTTTTGCTAAATGTTTTATTTTATTAAATTAAATGCATTTGTAACATGTTATATGTAGATTTTATCTTTCTTTACACCTCAAGTCAATATGAACTTTATGCCAAATCTCAGACTCCTCTCTGCATACTATGTGATTGAAAAGATAATAAAATAATTTTCTTCACAAAAGGCTATACAATTTAAAGATTAACCAAACATTTCAATGTCATAAATTAACATTAATTTTTTTTTACTAAAACAGCATAAAAATTATAAATTTGAAGAAAAGAAAGACTAGAGCTGCAATTGTTACATTTTGGTATCTTAGTTTCAACGTAATGTAATTTTGGCTAGTTATTATATAATTTATTATTCCTTACTATTAAAACAATAGCCTTGTAATCTAAATTCTAAAGCAGTGAATTATTACAAATTGTAACGTGAAAATTTTAAGAAATAAAATGGCTAAAGTGTGTGTCAAATTTTATTATTATTGTTTTTCTCACAACACTTTCTGTATGTAAATTCCAATGAGGCCAATGTGTTTTGAATGCTGGGGTGTATTTTCCTCTCTTGTGATGCTCCAAAGCCTGTACCTGCAAGTTAGGTAAGGTCAGTGTCGGACAACATTTGTTTGTTACTAATGTTAGTGTGAGCGGGTAAATGGATGTCTTATTTTGTATTATTTTATTGTGTGCGAATCTGCGTGAATGGTCCACTTGACAGCGGCTACAGGGTTTCCCGTTCCGCACGAAGCGGTCAGTATAAAAACTTACCGCTTGGATAATTTCTTTCTTTTGACCCGAGGCGAGATGTAGATCAGGTCAGTTTCTGTGTGGGCTCACCTCGTGCATGAAGGTATTTGTGTTTTTTATTGTATTTGTATATGTGTGATTTGTATGAAAGCGCCTGCCGATGTTTCTCGTTTTCTTTCTTTTTCGTCTAAAAAGAGATAGTGGGCATCGGCTTGCCTGGTATACTCGTGGTGTGTGTTCTTTTTTTGAAAGATTTGAAATGTATTTTGGTATTTTCTAAAACCCTTGGCGTGTTTTAGACCACGTGGTTTAGGTCACTATGTTTAGGATGGTTTCCAAAACTGGTTTGAGTGTGTTTGTGTATTTTACTTTTTTATTTTAAAGTATTGTTATTGTGGGTTCCCCACAATGACTAAGTTGGGCTCAGTCACAAGTAATTTTGTTGTGGTTGTCTTAGACAGTAATGAGTGTATTTTAGTTTGCCTCGAGTTTTAGGTTGCTGTAAAATTAATGTGTGTGATGTTTATTACAACGTCTTGTTGAGTCACTTGCTTTGTGTCTACCTCTATTTGGGGCCTTAGCGGGGTGTGTTAACTTTATTGTTATCAGTGTGGATGTTGTATAGGTAGACCAATGGCTTCGTGCTGCTCATTGTGTAGGATAAATTGGTTCTATAATGATGATTTTTATTGCACGTTATTTTTAATTGGCTAATTTCTTGGTTAGACAGTGATTTATTGTGGTTTTGAGAATTGATTTAGTATTCTAGGATTAGTGGTAGTAGTAGTTATTAGTATTTTACTCGAGGCTTTAGATATCTTTAGTAGTAGTCAGTAGTATATAAACATATGTATATTGATGTATATATATTTTTCCATGCATTTTCTTGTTTTCCTTTTCTTTTTTCTCTCCCCTCCCCCTTCCAGTGAAGTTGTTTGTGCAACTTGGCTTGATTTGTATGGATTGTTTTGTTTGATGTTTGGTGCGGATATTAGATGGCGTTTCGGTGGCAGTACTGGTAAGGATGGTTGTCTGTGTTTTCAGAGCCTAGACTCCGAGGTACCGAAGGTACATAATATTCCATTGAACGTTGTTTTGTTTGTTTGGTGATTGTTTAGTGTTGCATTAGGATGTTTTGAATTTGACTTAATGTTTACGTTTTTTTTTGTTCCATTTTATTTCATGCAATAAATTCTGTAAATTGTTAAAGTTTTTTTGTTTTATTTTTAGTGGTTTGTGTTTTTATTTAGACTAAGGTTAAGGATAAGATTTAACCACCGTGGGTTTCACCACGGTTGCACTGACCTAGGGAAGGGTATATAGATAATATGGTCAATTACATAGGTTTAGTCTCATCAAATGAAATATGGTCATTTATTCTTAGTCTTTATGTGAATCATCATCTTCTTTTCGTGTCCAAGAACATGAAGTAGAGTTCATTTTTCAGAGACTTCAGCACCTAAAGGGTTAGTGTGGTCAGCACTATGCCCAGCCGTCTTTGCTTTCCATAATGTGAGTCAGGTACACATCAGAGCTGGGTGAACTCTGGAACGTTCTACTGACTTTAACCTGCATTCAAACTCGAGACTTATTTTAGTAAATACTGTTAGTTTATTTAACCACATGCCACATACATTAATTTAACCTGCATTCAAGTTCGAAACTTAATTTTGTAAATACTATTAGTTTATTTATCAAAACAGTTAATAGCTGGCCACATACAATATGAAAAATACAACCTCAACACAAACGCAATTAGAAATGAATCTCAACAATATTGTTTACATCTGAGAAAAAAATTTATGTCACAATTTATAAACATAATTAACAAATTTAAAGAATCCAACAGGTAAATAAAAAAACAGAAATAGGCATATATTTAAGATTAGACAGAATTTAAGTATTTAATTTACAATTTAAAACCAAATTAATGTAAATTTAAAAAAAAATTTAAAAAAAAATATTTGTGTAATAATTAGCTCTTTAGAAATAAAGAGGAGAATTTGGTTAAGATAGTGTTAAAAGACTGCTAATTGTGACATCACTTCTACTGATGCACAAAGCCCAGTACAAAACATTAAGACCTTAATTGTGCAAAATACTAATGCTTTTTAAAATTGATAGAAATTGTGGTAATTTAAATAAAGTTTGATAATTTACAGGAACTTAAATAAATAACTTAAATAATATTAAGAGTTTAAAAGAAAAGCAAGTGTAACAGTCATCATCCAAAATTAAACTGTCACTACTATCAAAATGCTTTATTGGTTTGATAACTACATATAAAGTTGATACGATGACATAAAGAATCAAGTGTGTAATTTTTCAACACCATTTGTCTCGTTATGGGTTTAAATTAATCCTATGATGTAGCCTCAACAGAGATTGACGAGGTGTTACATCGCTGCAGATATTTCAGAAGAACTGTTAATTAACAAGTTTATTTTCTTATGTGTCCAATAAATTTCAATGTATATCATAAGCAATAGAAAAGCTTTATCATATGTTAAAGAAAAGAACATAAAAGCCTATACGGCTTAGCTATTACTAGTAAATGTGTTTACATAAATCAAATTACTAGTTATATAAGAAAATACAGTTACCAAAACTTCAGATAAGCTTCAAATAGAAAGAAGATAACACAGACTTCCAATAAATAACACAATACATTTCTTGATATGTGACAAGCAGATCTAAAAAAACTTTTAAAAAGTAAAAAAAACAAACTTTGCAGTATGATGGTATTGAAAGAGACACAAGCCCATTGTTGGAAATAGCTGTAACTTGAGCAAATTAAACATTTTACAATCCCCCCCCCCCCCCTCATCTAACTGTGATTGGGTATAAACAGAATTGGAGCCATGCAAAAAAAAAAAAAAAACACCAGTGTTTTTACTACCAATGTCAATAAAAAAAATTAAAAATTGCAGCATAAATTTACATTTCTTCAGTCACATCAGTTTTATAATATACGAGCCGGCCCGCGGCATAACATACGCCGCTTATTAGTTGTTGTTATTTCTACTTTTCAGTAATTCATAATTTGTGAATTCGACAGTACCAACGCTGCCACTGAAAATATTTCTTTAAAACACTATAAGTGGCTCGTTAAGGACCATAACCCCCCCTCCTCCCCCCCCCCCCCCCTACGTTTAAAATCGTTGGCTCTGCTTGTAAACATTTAGAGTGAACACAGCTCACTAAAACCATGTAGGGGTGGGGAGGTAGGGAGCGCGTTTGCAGCTTGTTTTCTAACAGCTCGCAGAGGAGAATTATATATATAGATTTTTCGATTGTGAGAGGGTTGAACTACTTGGTTCATTACCATGTGAGAATATCAGACAACATAGGCAGTCATTATAACATTACACGTCTAGACGACACAGGTGACAATTTATTGACAAGATGAAAATAGGTTTTTCTTCTGATATTTATTAAACACATTCTGCTTATAATCGTCATCCACATGAACGTCTCACGATTCACTCTACAGAGTCACACTGGTCATATACACCCTTTCACCAAGACTAAGATTAACGCACACAATACACAGCAACCAGTTTCTACACAAAACGTCACTATCTTTCATCATTATGTCATCATCACATCTTTCGCACCAACACCAACATACCTTGATTAACTACACATGATAACATTGTTCGTAGTGTGTCTTCAGTAGTATGGTTAAACTAGATGAATATGCCGTTTGTGTGAGATTAAATGTACCTGAAATGTCTCTTTACAAGGTGCAGGTCATATTCATCTGGTAAGTTAAAGCCTGTCACAATGACTACATATGTAAAGCTGCAAAGGTGTATGTATCAGTTGATGGGACAAATGGTGAGCTATAGAAACAAAGCTTTTTTTGGCAAATATCACAATTTTGTACATTTTCAACACCCTCAACTGATTGAAGGTTTAGATGAATCTTTTGATGTTGTTTTAGCCGACACAGATAAGGTGACGTGTAATGGCACTTCTCACATTTGTGAATTGATTCTCCATTATGTAATCTAATGTGAGCTTTTAGGTATTGTTTATCTGCATAACATTTTTCACAAATTTCACATTTAAATGGCTTATACCTAAAATGTGTTGCTAAGTGTAGATCATATTCATCTCCAATGTTATAACTTTTATCACAGTGGCAACATATGTAACATTTCAATGGAGTGTGTACAATTTTATGAGAAGCCAAATGAGATAAGGATTTAAAACTTTTTTGGCAAATGTCACACACAGAAATCTCAGTTGGAGGATCACTGCCTCTCTGTTCATCATTATGGTATAGTTGACAAGTTGTATAATTCTCCAGACCACATTCACATTTTTGCCCAGTTAAAGTCTGTAACTTTTGAGGTCCAGTTGTTTTATTTTCATGATTTAACTGCAACTTTTCACATGTTTTGAACATATTGTGGTACAACTCAGCTATCTTTTCATTAGTTAATGATACATTTTCTTTCTCCTTCAGTATTGAGCACTTGACTTCTACATTTCCACAATTTGAAGAAGTGGATCTGTAATCTGGTGGGTATTTACATGAAGATATCATGGTTTCCTCTCTGAAATTGTCCTTTAGTAAATCAGAAACAATGTTTTCTTTTGATAGAGCCACATGAACTTTTATGTGATGTTTTTTCAGCTTACTCTATTTTCCTGTGGTATATGCACAAAACTCACAGGCCATCCTATCCTTTGGATGAAATTCCTTTTTATGTGTAGCAAACAATGGCTCCTCTGCAACTATAAAATCACAAAAACAACAGCTTATAGCTTGCACTTCTGTGTGCTTTTTATTCCAACGAGCCGACCCGCTGCGTATCATACGCCGCTATTTAGTTGTTTTTTTTCTACTTTTCAGTAATTTATAATTTGTGAATTCGACAGTACCAATGCTGCCATTGAAAATATTTGCTTAAAAACACTACCCCCCCCCCCCCACGTGAAAGCAGCCTCCTCTTAGTTACCTCCTCTAAGTTTAAAATCGTTTCAAACTAAATTATCTGCCCCTAATAGCCGTCACCAAACCCGTCTCTGTGATTGTAAAATGTAAACAGAGTGAACACAACTCACCAGACAATGTGGGGGCGGGGTGGGGGTGGTTGTGATATTGATATAGAGGAAGAGAGGGGACTGTAAGGCGAGGTTGCAGCTTGTTTTCTAACGGCTCGAAGAAGAGAATTATATATATAGATGTGTTCGTAATCTTTCAAAAGATGAAAATGTTCTTGAACAGATGTCACAGTGACCTACTTGCTCTCTCATTTTCTGTTTGTTCTATAACACTAGAGTTATTAAATTAATCAGAGGTATCCACTTGACCAAACATTTAGAGCTGAAAGATAAATATTTGATACTCTTTAATTATTTAAAATTAAAAATGTAATTAAAAATCTTGTAATATTATTAGTAATAATAGAAAATGTTACTGACAACTAAGGTTCTTCTAATAAAAGTCTGAATGAGAAATATTTTTATAGTCCTTGCAGGGAAACACAAACAATGATATTGAACAACAAGACTTTCTTCAAGGCTAGACAGTCTAAATTTTACAACAGTTGGGCTCCATTACTGCTTAAGCAGCTTAATATAAACATGGTTAATTTTATTATAATCTATATATATAATTCTCTTCTGGGAGACACTAGAAAACAAGCTGTAAGCGCGCTCCCTATCACCCCACCCCTACATGGTCTGGGGAGCTGTGGTTCACGCTAAATGTTTACATTAGTAGAGCCGGGTTTAGTGACGTCTATTAGGGGCAGATAATTTAGTTTGAAACGATTTTAAAGAAAAGCGTGGGTCACTTTAGTATCTATTGGATACCTTTACTAATGTTAAGGAAGACACCCACGCTTTTCTTTATAGTTATTTAAATAGTAGTCTATAATTTATTTTCTACTTTTTAGTGCATTGTTACATAAAAGCTTGTTATTAAAACGTTTTTTATGAATTTTTTTTTACAAGCTTTTATTTAACTCACTTCCTCTGTCTGTCGTCAGTCGTCAGTCTAGATAGAAACGCAGGAGTGAAAATTCGGACAGTTCTACTTGACCGATACGATTCACACTTGGAACGTGGGTCAAGACATGAAGACAATGCAATCTGAAATTAAATTTGACTTAATTGGATGCCTAATTAATTTTTTATGAATTAATTAAAATTTGGACCGAATTAGTAGGCATGTCTAGCCAACCATACAACACGCGTCATCACGTTTAATAGCTGCGCCATCACGGTACGTTCAATAGCTGCGCCACCACGTTCAGTAGGCGCGCAATGGTTTTTAGTCATGTAACTCTATTGTAAATAAAACATGTAAAGTACTGAAATTTTTTTTCATAAAAAACGTTTTTATAACAAGCTTTTATGTAATAATGCACTAAAAAGTAGTAAATAAATTATAGACTACTATTTAAATAACTATAAAGAAAAGCGTGGGTCTCTTCTCAAATATTAGTAAAGGTATCCAATAGGTACTAAAGTGACCCACGCTTTTCTTTATAGTAATTTAAATAGTAGTGTATAATTTATTTTCTACTTTTTAGTGCATCATTACATAAAAGCTTGTTATTAAAACGTTTTTTATGAATTTTTTTTTCAATGTTTACTCGAGAATCAATGACGTCATATTACTCAGGCTTGATATTATTTTCTACTCTATGCTCAATATGACGTCATATTTCGTTTTCTTTTCACTGTGAAAGTTTTTAAATTGCTTGTGTTTAACTGTTTTCTCTAGAGCGTTCTTGTCAGATAGATACATAGATAGATAGATACACAGACAGCGAAACTATTATGTAGAATAGTTACTATTTAGTAAGTTTGTAAATAAATAGTAAATAGCAGGCCTATAGTATAGTAAATTTAATAAAAAAAAGGTTCCTACTCGTAGGACGTCCACTAGAAGTACTAGATCTAGTTCTAGATGTACAAAATCTAGTAGTAGGCCGATAATCTATCATTTAAGTTACGTAAAATTGCCCCCGGCTAGTAATGTACGAAAAAGTTACCTCATTGTCAAGGCTTTAATAGAAGTATATTGTGGGTTATCTATCGTTTTAGGTACGTAAAATCGCCGCCACTAGTAATGTGAAAAACTGGTGATAAATGAAATGAATAATAATCCTAAATCAATGGCAAAATATATCAATATAGGCAAGAAATTAACGTTAAACAGCAGTGTTTGCGAGCAGGATTTGCTATATAAAAAGCGCCCGTCTAAAAGTTAGAGTGGCTTCCCCTGAATTTTGCACTATAAGTTTATGATAAGAAAAAATAAACAAGATGGCTGCTATAGTAAATGAGCATGGTTGCATCTGTTGGGAACATCGATAGTTTTCATTTAGGCTGCTAATACTGAATAGTTTTGATTCAATTGTTTAAAAACAGATACATAAATGAAACAAGAAAACATTTTTGTATTTTTCAAAACATAAATCCTCCCCAAAATATGAAAGAACTATTAAAATTTAAGGACTCACCTGTTTTCACATTACTAGTGGCGGGCGATTTTACGTACCCTCATTCTAGCCCTAACCCTAGGTCACTGCGCATGCGCAGAGCTATCTTTTGCCGACCAAGTGGAGACGTTGGGGAGAAAAATCTTCTTCCAAGTAGTTACTTGGTAAAATTTAAGTAGTCACCTGTTTTTCACATTACTAGTCGCGTGCGATTTTACGTATCTAAAATGATAGATTACCAGTAAGCCTCCCTAGCACTAGATATTGCCCTAGAATCTAGATTTTCTAGAACTAGATAGATCTAGACAGTGGCGTAGCCAGGATCGTCTCATGGGGGGGGTTCAAATTTTGTCCAGCATTTTATATATATATATATATATATATATATATATATATATATATATATATATATATATATATATATATATATATATGTGTGTGTGTGTGTGTACATATGCATGTGTAAGTGCGTGCGTGTAAAGTATTGGTGGCTGGTGACAATAGAAACTCGTGGGTGCCACCGACTAACTTATCTTAGTATTAGCTATTGTTTTGTAACAAGTAACACATGTACACTATCGTAAAAAAATTATAAAAATCAAATTTCCATCATTTTCAGCAGTTTTCTCCAACTAAAAATTTCCTTGTCGGCCGCAAAATATTAGAGATTCTATTATGGGCGCTAATCTTAAACGATTTTCTTGAATTTGTTGACTTATGATAAATTTAAGGAGATTTTAATAAGTTAATTTTTTTTTCTCCATCACCGATTTACGATTTTGGGAAAGTAAAATTGCTCTTTTATGATACTCACATTGCTGGTGCTCATTAAACTTGTCTGTTGCCTTTTTCCAGTTTGAAAATGAAATTTTTGATAGCTTATCCATAGGCTGACTACCTACACCACGATAATTCAAACTAATCAAAACACAATATTTGCAAAATGCGCCATCAAGTAATTTGGAATAAGTCAACCAGTTCCACCTAAGTAGCCACAAATATTGAAACTTTAAATTTCTTTGTCCGCTTGCTGGAAATTTTAAAAGTTCATCAGGACGCCAGATGTTTTCTAATAAATACAACCGTGTATCGTCTGTTATAACTCCTTTGATAAAATTGCCGATATCATTTGCGTAAGAAACAGTCGAAGGTGCTGAATTTATGGAAATTTCTTGATGTAATGTACTTTGAAAAGCAATAGTACCATCTTCATTTTTATCATTTTCAGTTTTACTTTTCTTTGTAAAGAAATCAGTTAATAAAGTAGTTTTTAATTTCCTTTTTCCTTCCGCCATCATTAAAATGAATTTAAATTGCTTGAAGTAGTTAAAAGATACACATTAAAACACGACTATACGAAGAAGAAAGCAAATTATTATTGGTCTTCTATTCTGTCTAAATTGACTACTGTAGGTTCCTGGCTTTACATCTATATTTAACCAAATACGCAGTTTTTTTTATATAGCCTACCAACACAAAGTTTTGTGTCAACAATTGTGGGTCAAGCCCACGCCTTCCTGCCAGATGTGCATCCGGTAGTATTTTATAATTGATACGTACCAATATTCATCCCACCCTCACCCCCTTTTACACCCCTTAACTGATAACCTTGTTCAGCTTTCCCTTCGACTATTGCGACCCTGAGTGTTTGTTGTTTAAGCACTGAATGATAGCGACACAAGTCCATCGTCGTCAATAGCTGTAACTTAACGTAAAGGATTGTCATTTTGAAGGTTCTACCCCCCCCCCCCCTCCCCTCACCCCTGCCTACTCCTCCCTCTGCCATCTTTATCATTTTCAGTTTACTTATCTTTTTAAAAATTAAGTGAAATGAATTTCAAATGGTTTGAAGTAGTAAAAACATACACATTATAGAACCTCAATGCGAATAATAATCAATTCCTTTGTTTGTTTTTCATTTCTAGACGCTTTCCGATTGCACTACAATCATATTAGACAACAAAGGCCTACCCACGTAGCCCACCCCTCCCTTTCGACACTCCTTAACTGATCTAACCTTGGCCAACTTTCCCTTGGCCTACTGCGTTCCAGATTATTATACTTTACTTTAGCGCGATAATAAAATTCATAACTAAATTCTACAGGCAATTCTCATCACAATGATATACATTGTTGTTCTAGAGGCTGCCAGGCTTAAGTGTTTAGTGTTTAAGCCCTAAATAATATTGACACAAGTCAATAGCTATAGCTTAACGTAAAAAAGTAGTCATTTTGGGGGTCCATGGGGGGGTTATAACCCCCCCTAACCCCCCCCCTGCCTACGCCACTGGATCTAGATTCTAGAATTATAATTTATTAGTAGATCTAGAAATCTAGAGATTTAGATAGATCTAGATCTAGATCTAGGTGAGTAGAGTAGTAGATCTAGATCTAGTAGCCTACTAATACTCTAATAATATTAATAACTAATAAATAAAGTAAAGTAGTTAGAATCTAAGAAATACTAAGTAACTAAGAATCTATATCTAGTAGTTAGTTATTAATAGAGTCCTTGCAAACACGTGACCTAAATCACGTGATACCTACGCCCGCCGCCACAGTGGTGTACATCAGACGTAAACACAATCAGCTGTTCACCAGCGCTGGACGCGTTCACTGTGTGTAAAGAACGGCACCCGCGGAAAAGGAAAAATATGTTAAAAAACTTGAACTCTTAGGAATTGAAGATCCTTATACAGTTATTGACAGTTTCGTGGATAATATAAATATGTGGCCGAAATTTCTAAATAAAAATACTGTTAGTAATACCGTTTGCGTTTAGAGTTTAAGTAGACGAAGCTGATCAAATGCAGTAATATATTATACGTTATCTACTGTAGCAAACGTGAGACAACTTAACTCCTACAAAACCCACACTACAACAACGACTAATATAATCCATGGGTAATAACCAATCTGGGTAGCATGTTATACAATTTAAGACCTTATAATCCAACAGGGAAGTGATCAGACACATTAATACTGACGTTCAACCCTCATGATGGCTGCCCCCACCTGTATCTAGCCCACAATAAAACCTAAGAGGAGTCTGCCCTGCCCTCCCCTGAAAATGTCTCACCTCCGTGATACCCAGCCCCACAGAGATAGTATTTCTTATATAATTTTGACCCTCAGGGCCCAGCAGGGGGAACAAAGGGGAAAGTCCCACTGCTCTCCCCTCAACACTTCTCACCTCGGTGTCATGTTATGTCATTTATAGCACACATGGCTTATCAGGGGAAAGCACGTAAGGCATTAAGAATCTTAACTCTGGACAGCTACACACTAGTATACTAGCTACACTAGGTGCCTACTGTAAACTACTAGACTGTAGGCCCTATGTAGACCTGCAATTGTATCAATTGTAGACTGGGTCCATTGTTATTATTCTAAACCATCTCACTTATGTTTCTAGCTTGATTTGTTTCTTTTATAAACAGTGGATTTTTTAAAAAAATTAGCCTAATCATTAACCAAATAATAATAATGTGGTTATTTGTTGTTGGCTGGTATTATCTAGATTGTACTACTAGGCTACAAAAACTTAGTAGACCAATTACTAGATATGAATTTGAATTTAATTAAACTCAGTCCAGTATCAGATACATATTGCTGTAAAAAGACAACAAAGTAGGTAGGCCTTAGTAATTTATTAAAGCCTTCTACTACAATAATATCAACTACATGCTTGTATAAAGTTTTTACAATTTAATTTAAGTAGCAGATTCTAGATCTAAGTCTAGTCATACAATCCATTTCAATTTCAGAAAATTTCGTTTGCTAAAAAAATGATTAGATAATAGAGCGAGATTTTAGATCTTAGAGACAATTAAATGCTTTATTAGGCCTATTATGACTACTTTTGATTTATTATGGGTGTATTTTGAATCGAATGTAGATCTAAAGTTATTAAATTTAAGTAAAGAAGTAGATTCTAGATTCTATGTCTACCCAGCGGAGCCAGGTATTAGGCCTACTATTAGATCTTATTATTCTTATTATTACTTTTGACTTTGTCTTTTACTATTTGTATTTGTGAAGGTCGAGCATATTTGTTTTATTAATAGTTATCTTTTATAATTAAAATGAAGTTTATTATTTTACTGTCCTTACCTGAAACAAAGTATCGAGAACTGCATTTGATCAGATTCGGCTACTTTAACTCTAAACGCAAACAGTATTACTAACAGTATTTTTATTTAGAAATTTTGTCCACATATTTATTTATACGAAACTGTCAATAACAGTATAAGGATCTTCAATTCCTAAGAGTTCAAGTTTTTTAACGTATTTTTCCTTTTCCGCGGGTGCGGTTCTTTACATACAGTGAACGCGTCCAGCGCTGGTGAACACGTCCAGCGCTGGCGAACAGCTGATTGTGTTTACGTCTGGTGTACACCACTGTGGCGGCGGGCGTAGGTATCACGAACGGACGTGACGTCATATGAAAGGACTCTATTAAGTTTGAGTTAGGCCTAAGTAGTTAAGTAGAGATTGGGACTCATTTCTGGTCATTTCAGATTATGCAGAAAGATCAAACTTCTTTTTTTACAAACATTTATTTTATATTTATAGATCTAGATCTACTTTTACTTTAGCCTTAGTTTAGATAGGCTTTTCAATTCGTGAAGTCTCTGTCTCGCGGTTTCGTGGCCACCGTGTTTTGGGCGGACATATAAAATATCTAATCATTTCGTTCTCATGAAGTACAAGATACTTATAAATAAAGATCGTATCGTAATCGGATAGATTTGTATCGAAACTGCCCATGTATTTACGGGGCGAATAATTCTGATTTCTTGGAAAATCACTCTTATATAGCTTGTGCTCAAAGTCAAAATAAACTAAAGCAGGTGCTTTTTTGTTTGTAAATAATGTTTTAACATCTTCACTTTGATGTAAAAATAGAATTGTATAAAAAAAATCAACGGTCGAAACAAACCATTGCCCGTACAAATGACCAAATTAAAAACCTCATAGGACGCCATTTTATAATCTAAACGCCGATTCCGGAAAAGGTGAAGGATTTTAGTTTTGACGGACTGATTGATTGAGTAGTAAGTAATAATAAAAACACACTGACGTAGTGGGGTAAAATTATGCCGATGGCTGAGAAAGTTAGATGAGAAGATCTCATAATAATAGGGCCTAATAATCTAATATTAATATATAATATTTTTAATAGTCATCATAACTCTTCTCTTAGCTAGTTAATTATTAATTACTAGTGCTTCTCGCTAAGTTGGAGGCGTGGTCGGTTGCTAACAACAATATGGCGTCTGGACCGGACGCATGATTTCCGACGAAATTTTGGCCAAACTCCAGAGACATTTTACGAATTACTTTTAAAAATGTTTACCACGAGCAAATTGGCGAGGTTTTCACACTATAACAACAAACTATAGGTGGCAAGGCTATATATGCCAGAAAAGCATTTCAAAATTTGCGTTGGAGAATGAAGGCTAAATTTAAAAGTTGGTTTCATTAAACATACTACTTTTTAAATAGGCCGATTCTAGCTGGAATAAGATACGCATGCGCAATGGAGAGAACCTACGACTTGCCTTAGCGGCGATGTTTTCGATGGTACTGCGCATGCGTGTGTTTACAACCGCAGAACCCTAACACCAACCCTAATCCTATCCTTAACCCTAACCCTAGCCCTAATCCTTTCCCTAACCCTCATTTTAACCCTAGCCATAGGTCACTGCGCATGCGCAGAGCTATCTTTTGCCGATTAAGTGGAGACGTTGGGGAGAAAAATCTTCTTCCGAGTAGACACTTCGTTTTTAATATCAACCTGAAAAGTACAAAAATGAAATGAAGTCTGTAGAACTAATAGGTTTATCAGTCTATGTAAAAAGAAATCAAATATAGCTAACCACTTTTATATAAACGATGGCTTTTGAATGACAACCAAATTTATTTATTTTTTTAAACCATGTGACCGCTATTTGATGATCACTAGTGGGGAACTCTGGGTACATGGCCACTTAAAAAGTCTAACCTGATTTGTGGTTTTTTTTAGCTTCAAGCGTAAGAAGAGTTGTCATGGATAGATGTGTTGGGCATGGCAGTGAGTGTCAATGAATATTAAATTAAGTAATTTAGTTTAAAACGAACTAAAACCTTCAAAATTAGTGCCTAATAGATTAAATATGGATGTCTATCATTCAATAGTCGTGTTTAATTTGAACTTTGGGTAAATTCTAGATTTAGTAATAAAAACTATTAACTACATACCACTTCCAACCGTTAAGTGAGACACTAACCCTAATCCTAACCCTTGCCATAGGTCACTGCGCATGTGCAGAGCTATCTTTTGCCGACTAAGTGGAGACATTGGGGAGAAAAATCTTCTTCTGAGTAGTCACTTCGGAGAAAGTTAGATGAGAAGATCTCATAATATTAATAAATAGTAGGCCTAGTCATCATAACTCTTCTCTTAGCTAGTTAACTAGTAATTACATACCACTTCCAACTACTTACTATTTGTTGAACGATATTAGTGACAGAGTAAAGAAAAAGCTAAAAAATTATACACATTTAAAATAACATGGCTACCAATACCTATAAGAAAAATTAAAACCAAATTATATACATTTTTAGTCGACACATATTATATGCACACACTGATTAAGAGACTTAAATTGTTCCCTTAAAAACTTGGCTGTTCAATTGTCATTATGTTGTTTTTTAAAGTAATTTGTATAGAGAGGTTGTTATCCAAAAATTAAAAAAGGTGATCTGCTGTGTGAAAGGCTGTTGTACTCGTACTGGAAATTCTAAATAATTTCTTAATTCCACTGCAAAAAATTATATTACACCAATGGGAAAGAGATCGACAGCTATGAGAGTGTAAACACTATCAACTTTTGGCGAATATTTATAGAGGTGGTGTGATGTTTTAGCAAATTATAAACATTTTAATTAGGCCTATTAAATTAACTCAGAAAATTTTTTATAATGTATTAAGCCTACTAGATTTATTATAAAATTTAAAATATATTTGGCTTCACAAATACTAAGAGACAAAAAGTAATAATAAAATTTTAATTTAATTAATTAATCAGGCTTGGGCCTATGAGTCTAACTTTAAATAAACTATTACTGGTGAAGTATTCTTACTATCAATATACTCTAGGTTCTAATTAATAATTAAGTAATTATAGTCTAATATTAATAAACTATACAATTAAATAATTGTATTTACTAAATAATTTAGTGATAGCAATCAAAATTAATGTATTGGGTAAATGACTGGTTCTATTAACATTGGGCTAGAGTCTAGCAGATATACAGAAATACTCTGACATAGATTTAATTAATCTAATTAAATTTAAAATAGCTAGGCCTACTTTAGCCTAGTCTTGGCCTATATTTTTTTAATTAGTATTAGAGTAAAGTTCCGCTTGAGATCAAAACCTCGGTGGGATCACATTCCTGTTTATCGCTTTTTATAATATTTGTTTGGATGTTTTATACGAAACTACCAATATCTGCTGTAAACATGTCCATTTCTAAATATATCCAGGTCAAATTCTTTTGTTTCCCTCCTTCTGGAAGACGAGTTTTTAAATTTTCAAGTTTCGAGGTATGACGTCGTAGGCCATGCTAGTTCCCCCCTATGAAAAGCACTAGGTCCCGGATGAGATGAATAAAACCAACCAATCAAAGCTTTTTATAACTAGGTTAACTATAAATAGCTTCTATTTATGTGCGGGTAGGGTTGCCAGATCTAGTAATTAGGCTACTAAAAGTGCCTTTAGCATGATCACATATTAGTAGTACTACTAGATCTAGTCAGTCAATATTACAAGTAAGCACATTATTGTAAAATGTAGTATGTTCTAGTTGTAATATTTCTGCTATTCAACTAAGCCAGGTAAACCCACTATTCATATCTTATCTTGGATATGGATGTAGGTAATAAAAAATATTCAATGCAGCAGTAATCAGACCCTCAACACTTACCCATTAGATATTAGCTGTCAACATGAACATTAATTTGAATTTTAAAATGCACTGACCTGCACAAAGTGTTATTTTTTAAAATTAATTTTATCTAGTTCATTAAGATATGCTTCTTTTGTTGTTGCCATTCAACTTTTTTAAGGTTCAGTTTGTAAATTTTTAAATATAAAAATAAAACAAATAAAATCAATTCATTTATTCTGTTTTTTTTTATTGATAATTTTACTACATTAGAAAAAGTTTTGCATTTCCGTCCATACAATTGGAGCAGGTGGCAATAATCATTCCACCTTGGTCACTCAAAATCCATGGCTCAACACAAAGGCTTTTATAATGCTTTCAGTGAATACCCAGACCTGCAAAAAAAATCAAGTAGGCTTACTAATTACCCTGCTGTGGCTATAATTATAAATAGAATTCAAGCAATTAAAATTATTGATGTCTGCTGTAAGTTAACTGGGTATGAATAATTTAAAAAGACACATATTTAGGCCTATTATTAAATATAATCCAGTAAATTCAGAGGACAAGGCAAAATTTAAGAAATTGTGTGATCTTAAGTCATGCTTTAAAATTTAAGTTTTAACAGTGTTCATCAAGTAAATGGTGTTTCATAGTTAATGTAGTGTGACTTGAGTTAATCATCTAGATCTATCTACTGAGTATCTAACACTTTAACAGTGTGACAGCTTACAAGTGTATTACTGGGCACTAGAATATAATAAATTAAATATGCTAGCAATCTAAATATTACTAGATCTAAATAATAAAGAATAATCTTACTTTGGCCACAACTACTAGCCCTAGGCTTCCAATATCTTCATAAATAATCACAAGTCCATCTGTTAAGTCACGTTAAATGCATTTTTGCGTATTTAAAATGAACTAGTATATGGTATATAGCTAAATCTAAATTCTAGAATCTTGGGTATTCTTGAGGCTGACTCTCTGGAGTTGTGGCTTTCACTTTTGATTGGATAGATTCAGATAGATGTTTACATTTTTGTCAGTTATTTATTATATTCATATTGTCTATCAGCTGGACAAAAAGCAAAAAAAAAAAGGTTCCTGAATAATTTAAGTTTCTTCAAATATTGTTGCTGTTCTGCGGGTGGCTGGTTTTTAAAATAAACTTAGGGACTAGCTTTATAAAATACATAGAGAAGACCAGTGCTAAGCTAGGGCATCAACATGGTGGCGGATGTAAACATCATGTGGTTTTGGTAACCTCTTTTAGTTTGACAGGGAAAATTGTATACATTTCATAGTGTAGGTCTTGATAAGTAAATTTATAAAATCTAGATCTAAATCAAATTTTAATGAAAAAGCTCATTTCCTTATATTCTAAAACTGGAAGAGGACACCATTAGTGTTGTGTTCTTTCCATAGTTTACAAAGGCTAAACCAGATGAGTAGAGTAACAATAACGTCCCCTAGCCTTCATTGCACTACCTGTAAACAAATTAATAAATCCATATACACAAAACTTTATACATGCACATATATTAGTTCCCAGCCATACGAATAAAATAGCATTGAAAGTTTTTACAATTGTTGCATTAAGGAAGCCGTATGATTTTTAAATCTTGAAACTGCCATGTTTTTTTGTTATCAATATAAATCCCGATCACAACAATTGATTTAGTTAAAAAAATTTCATCTCACCCCGGCTAACAGGACTTGAATTTAAGTGAGAGAGAACAAGAACTTACAAGTCCTATTGTGTACAAATATTGTCACAAAACTAAAAAAAACATTAGTGCCAAGCTACCTGAAGAAAGCAAGTGTTTATTAAGTTATTTATGACCGTTTAGAAATGTAGTTAAAATTAATTTTAAAACTTTTATTACATATTTGTAAAAGATTAAGCACTTATTACAAACATTTAAAGACTAACTAAAGCAAATCAAGTTTTGATTTTTTGTTATTGTTAATATCTTAGTATTTCTATTTTTTGGTAGCTTAAGATATTAATCTGCAGTCCTGATTGCTTTGCATTACTGGTTGTCTATTTTAAAATTACATCTAAGTAATCATTAGTAATCAGACTGACAAAAGTCTGGCATGTGTTACAAATTTTGCCATGTTATTAGTAATAAGTTGTTTTGATTATTTAACCACCAGTTTAACATTTACATTTTTTTTAATCATCAGTTCATATCTAAGAAGCTGTCCAGCATGGAGGTGGAAACAGATGTGTTAGCTGCAGTTTCATCTACTGTAGATATACAGTCAAATGAATTGACAGAGTTTTCATCTTCTGGAGATTTGAAACCAGATCTATCGACCATATTTTCATCTTCTGCTGGCATCAATACAGAATTATTGTCATTTTATAATTCTCAGAATATAAAACCTGACATGACATTTAAAACCACTCAAGATGTTAAACCTGATGTTACACCAGATTTTTCTTCTTCTGCTGGCATCAAAACAGAATTATTGACATTGATTAATTTCCAGGATATAAAACCTAACATGTCATTTAAAACTTCTCAAGATGTTAAACCTGATTTTAATTCAGAATTTTCTTCTTCTAATGACATAAAACCAGAATTATCATTTTTTAATGTTCAGGATGTAAAACCTAACATGTCATTTAATACTTCTCAAGATGTTAAACCTGAAATTACATTTTCAATTGGAAAAAGTAATAAGAAACCAGCTGCATCAGCAGTATTTTCACCATCTGAAAATTTAAAGCCAGAATTATCATCTTCTGAAAATTTAAAACAAGATTTCACAACAGAATTTTTATTTTTTGAGGATAAACAAGAAAATGGACTTGAAGAAAATCTACAATTGTCTGGGGACAACGGAAATAAAATTATTTATTATAATCCAACATTTTCTCAAAGTTCTGAAAGTAATATGCATAACAATGTTCATTCTGAAGATAAGCCATATAAGTGTGAGGTTTGTCTTAAAAGGTTTTCTCAAAGTTCTAACTTAAATCAACATAAAAATATTCATACAGGAGAAAAGCCATATAATTGTGATGTTTGTCATAAAAGGTTTTCTCATAGTTCTGGTTTAAGTAAACACAAATATGTTCATTCTGGAGTTAAGCCGTATGAATGTGATGTTTGTCATAAAAGGTTTTCTCAAAGTTCTAACTTAAATCAACATATTATGATTCATATAGGAAAAAGGCCACATAAATGTGATGTTTGTCATAAAAGATTTTCTACAAATTCTTATTTAGAAAAATATAAAAAAGTGCATTCAGGAGATAAGCCACATGAATGTGATGTTTGTCATAAAAGGTTTTCAGAAAGTTCTGATTTAAGAAAAGATAAAAAGATTCATTTAGGAGATAAACCACATGAATGTGATGTTTGTCTGAAAAGATTTTCATATAGTTATCATTTAAGAGAACATAAAAAAGTTCATTCTGGAGATAAGCCATATGAATGTGATGTTTGTCATAAAAAGTTTAGTCAGAAGATAAATTTATCATATCACAAAAATGTTCATTCTGGAGATAAGCCATATGAATGTGATGTTTGTCATAAGAAGTTTTCTCAAAGGTCTAACTTAAGTACACATAAAAAGAAGCATTCAGGAGAAAAGGCATATAATTGTGATGTTTGTCATAAAAGGTTTTCAGAAAGTTCTGATTTAAGAAAACATAAAAAGATTCATTTAGGAGATAAACCACATGAATGTGATGTTTGTCTGAAAAGATTTTCATCTAGTTATCATTTAAGAGAACATAAAAAAGTTCATTCTGGAGATAAGCCATATGAATGTGATGTTTGTCATAAAAAGTTTAGTCAGAAGATAAATTTATCATATCACAAAAATGTTCATTCTGGAGATAAGCCATATGAATGTGATGTTTGTCATAAGAAGTTTTCTCAAAGGTCTAACTTAAGTACACATAAAAAGAAGCATTCAGGAGAAAAGGTATATAATTGTGATGTTTGTCATAAAAGGTTTTCTCAAAGTTCTGGTTTCAGTAAACACAAATATGTTCATTCTGGAGATAAGCCATATGAATGTGATGTTTGTCATAGAAGATTTTTTTGTAGTTCTAACTTAAAAAAATATAAAAAAGATTCATTCAGGAGAAAGACAACATGAATGTGGTGTTTGTCATAAAATCTTTGTGGAGAAGAAAGATCTATTACGACATAAAATTATTCATTCTGCAGATAAACCACATGAATGTGATGTTTGTCATAAAAGGTTTTCTAGAAATTCTGATTTAAAAAAACATAAAAAATTTCATTCTGCAGATAAACCACATGAATGTGATGTTTGTCATAAAAGGTTTTCTAGAAATTCTGATTTAAAAAAACATAAAAATGTTCATTCTGGAGATAAGCCGTATGAATGTGATGTTTGTCATAAAAGGTTTACTCGAAAATCTAACTTAGGTAAACATAAAAAGATTCATTCAGGAGAACAGGTGTATAATTGTGATGTTTGACCTAAAATCTTTGCAAATAAGAATAATCTATTACAGCATTAAAAAGTTCATTCATTAAAAAGGTCACATGAATGTTATGTTTGTCATAAAACATTTGTGGATATGAAGTATCTCTTTCGACATAAAATTGTTCATTCTGGAGATAAGCCATATGAATGTGATGTTTGTCTGAAAAGATTTTCAAATAGTTCACATTTAAGAACACATAAAAAGGTTCATTCAGGAGATTAACCTCATGAATGTGATGTTTAATAAAATGTTTTCTCAATATTCTAATTTAAGAACACAAAAAAATATTCATTCAGATGAAACGCCACATATGAATGTGATGTTTGTCCTATAAAGTTTGCTTGTAAGTGTGATTTATTAAGACAATTTTGTTCATTTGGGAAAAAATCCAAATGAATTTGATGTTAACCCTAAATGATTTACTCAGAATAGTTTAACTACACATAAAAAACTATTTTTGGCCGTACATGGTTTTTTCAACGTTCTCAATTAAGTGAACATGAAAAAGTTCATTTATGAGACCAGCTATATGAAAGTGGTATATGTCATTAAAGGTTTTCTAGAAGTTGTAGTCTAAATGATGTTTTACACAAACGATTTTCTCAAATTTAAATACTCAAAAAATTCTTTCTATATGTAAGACAGAAATGTGATGTTGGTAAGGAAATATATTCTTATAATTTTACTTTATATAGCCAAAGAAATTCATCATGACTTAAAACCAATTTAAAATCATTTTTTAACATAAACAATTAATATCTATTGCAAATTATTATTACATTTCTTATAATTTTTCTCTGCACATAACTTCCAATAGTGAGCCATAGTTAATAAATATTTGTATTATAAAAAGGTTCTTTTGTCAAAGAGTATACCTCGTCAATTATTATAAATACTCTAAAAAGAAATTGTATTCTGACTGTAAAAGGAAATAGCATCCTATTGTCAGCTGCATGTGTACATGAGCTGCAATTGTTACATTTTGGTATCTTAGTTTCAATGTAATGTAATTTTGGCTAGTTATTATATAATTTTTTATTCCTTATTATTAAAAAAATAGCCTTGTAATCTAAATTCTAAAGCAGTGAATTATTTTTAATTGGCTAATTTCTTGGTTAAACAGTGATTTATTGTGGTTTTGAGAATTGATTTAGTATTTTAGGATTAGTGGTAGTAGAAGGGATTAGTATTTTACTCGAGGCTTTAGATATCTTTAGTAGTAGTCAGTAGTATTTAAACATATGTATATATTGATGTATATATATTTTTCCATGCATTTTCTTATGTTTCTTCCAGTGTAGTTGTTTGTGCAACTTGGCTTGATTTGTATGGATTGTTTTATTTGATGTTTGGTGCGGATATTAGATGGCGTTTCGGTGGCAGTACTGGTAAGGATGGTTGCCTGTGTGTTCAGAGCCTAGACTCCGAGGTACTGAATGTTGTGTTTTGTTAGTTTAGTGATTGTTTAGTGTTGCATTAGGATGTTTTGAATTTGACTTAATGTTTGTTTTTTTTTTGTTCCATTTTATTTCATGCAATAAATTCTGTAAATTGTTAAAGTTTTTTTGTTTTATTTTTAGTGGTTTGTGTTTTTATTTAGACTAAGGTTAAGGATAAGATTTAACCACCGTGGGTTTCACCACGGTTGCACTGACCTAGGGAAGGGTAGATAGATAATATGGTCAATTACATAGGTTTAGTCTCATCAAATGAAATATGGTCATTTGTTCTTAGTCTTTATGTAAATCATCACCATCTTCTTTTCGTGTCCAAGAACATGAAGTAGAGTTCATTTTTCAGAGACTTCAGCACCTAAAGGGATAGTGTGGTCAGCACTATGCCCAGCCGTCTTTGCTTTCCATAATGTGAGTCAGGTACACATCAGAGCTGGGCGAACTCTGGAACGTTCTACTGACTTTAACCCGCATTCAAACTCGAGACTTATTTTAGAAAATACTGTTAGTTTATTTAACCACATGCCACATACATTAATTTAACCTGCATTCAAACTCGAGACTTATTTTAGTAAATACTGTTAGTTTATTTAACCACATGCCACATACATTAATTTAACCTGCATTCAAGTTTGAGACTTAATTTTGTAAATACTATTAGTTTATTTAACAAAAGAGTTAATAGCTGGCCACATACAATATGAAAAATACAACCTCAACACAAACGCAATTAGAAATGAATCTCAACAATAATGTTTACAGCTGAGAAAAATTTATGTCAAAATTTATAAACATAATTAACAAATTTAAAGAATCCAACAGGTAAATAAAAATAAAAAAACAGAAATAGGCATATATTTCAGATTAGACAGAATTAGAGGAGAATTTGGTTAAGATAGTGTTAAAAGACTGCTAATTGTGACATCACTTCTACTGATGCACAAAGCCCAGTACAAAACATTAAGACCTTAATTGTGCAAAATACTAATGCTTTTTAAAATTGATAGAACTTGTGGTAATTTAAATAAAGTTTGATGATTTACAGGAACTTAAATAAATAACTTAAATAATATTAAGAGTTTAAAAGAAAAGCAAGTGTAACAGTCATCATCCAAAATTAAACTGCCACTACTATCAAAATGCTGTATTGGTTTGATAATTACATTTAAAGTTGATAAGATGACATAAAGAATCAAGTGTGTAATTTTTCAACACCATTTGTCTCGTTATGGGTTTAAATTAATCCTATGATGTAGCCTCAACAGAGATTGACGAGGTGTTACATAGCTGCAGATATTTCAGAAGAACTGTTAATTAACAAGTTTATTTTCTTATGTGTCCAATAAATTTCAATGTGTATTATAAGCAATAGAAAAGCTTTATCATATGTTAAAGAAAAGAACATAAAAGCCTATACGGCTTAACTATTACTAGTAAATGTGTTTACAGAAATCAAATTACTAGTTATATAAGAAAATACAGTTACCAAAACTTCAGATAAGCTTCAAATAGAAAGAAGATAACACAGACTTCCAATAAATAACACAATACATTTCTTCATATATGACAAGCAGATATAAAAAACTTTTAAAAGTTAAAAAAATACTTTGCAGTATGATGGTATTGAAAGAGAGACAAGCCCACTGTTGGAAATAGCTGTAACTTGAGCAGATTAAACATTTTACAACCCCCCCCCCTCATCTAACTGTGATTGATTATAAACAGAATTGGAGGCATGCAAAAAAAAAAACACCACTGTTTTAACTACCAATGTCAATAAAAAAAAAATTAAAAATTGCAGCATAAATTTACATTTCTTCAGTCACATCAGTTTTATAATATATTTTTCGATTGTGAGAGGGTTGAACTACTTGGTTCATTACCATGTGAGAATATCAGACAACATAGGCAGTCATTATAACATTACACGTCTAGACGACACAGGTGACAATTTATTGACAAGATGAAAATAGGTTTTTCTTCTGATATTTATTAAACACATTCTGCTTATAGGCCCTAATCGTCATCCACATGAACGTCTCACGATTCACTCTACTGACTGAGTCACACTGGTCATATACACCCTTTCACCAAGACTAAGATTAACTCACACAATACACAGCAACCAGTTTCTACACAAAACGTCACTATTTTTCCTCATTATGTCATCATTATATCTTTCACACCAACATACCTTGATTAACTACACATGATAACACTGTTCGTAGTGTGTCTTCAGTAGTATGGTTAAACTAGATGAATATGCCGTTTGTGTGAGATTAAATGTACACGTTGACTGAATCGTTTGTCACATAGGCTGCAATAAAATGGCTTCTCACCAGAGTGAGTCCTCAAGTGTCTTTGTAGAGTACCTCTAGAAGCAGCTGAATAGTCACAAGAATTGCATGTGAAAGGCTTACTGTTTATGTGAACTCTCCAATGTTCTAAGAAAGGACTTTTATCGTTTGTTGTGTAGTCAAAATTTGAACACATATACAGTAAATTCCTAGTGTGTATGTTCGTATGAATTGTTAAATTTTTGTTCCTGCTAAAAGTTTTCTCACACAATGAACATCTGAAAGGTCTGTACCTGAAATGTCTCTTTACAAGGTGCAGGTCATATTCATCTGGTAAGTTAAAGCCTCTGTCACAATGACTACATATGTAAAGCCTCAAAGGTGTATGTATCAGTTGATGGGACAAATGGTGAGCTATAGAAACAAAGCTTTTTTGGCAAATATCACAAGTTTGTACATTTTCAACACCATCAACTAGTTGAAGGTTTAGATGAATCTTTTGATGTTCTTTTAGCCGAGACAGATGAGGCGTAGTGTAATTGCATTTCTCACATTTGTGAATTGATTCTCCATTATGCAATCTATTGTGAGCTTTTAGGTATTGTTTATCTGCATAACATTTTTCACAAATTTCACCTTTAAATGGCTTATACCTAAAATGTGTTGCTAAGTGTAGATCATATTCATCTCCAATGTTAAAACTTTTATCACAGTGGCAACATATGTAACATTTCAATGGAGTGTGTACAATTTTATGAGAAGCCAAATGAGATAAGGATTTAAAACTTTTTTGGCAAATGTCACACACAGAAATCTCAGTTGGAGGATCACTGCCTCTCTGTTTATCTTTATGGTATAGTTGACAAGTTGTACAATTCTCCAGAGCACATTCACATTTTTGCCCAGTTAAAGTCTGTAACTTTTGAGGTCCAGTTGTTTTATTTTCATGATTTATCTGCAACTTTTCACATGTTTTGAACATATTGGGTACAACTCAGCTATCTTTTCATTAGTTAATGATACATTTTCTTTCTCCTTCTGTATTGAGCACTTGACTTCAAAATTTCCACAATTTGAAGAAGTGGATCTGTAATCTGGTGGGTATTTACATGAAGATATCAAGGTTTCCTCTCTGAAATTGTCCTTTAGTAAATCAGAAACAATGTTTTCTTTTGAAAGAGCCACATGAACTTTTATGTGATGTTTTTTCAGCTTACTCCATTTTCCTGTGGTATATGCACAAAACTCACACGCCATCCTATCCTTTGGATGAAATTCCTTTTTATGTGTAGCAAACAATGGCTCCTCTGCAACTATAAAATCACAAAAACAAAAGCTTATAGCTTGCACTTCTGTGTGCTTTTTATTCCAATGTGTTCGTAATCTTTCAAAAGATGAAAATGTTCTTGATCAGATGTCACAGTGACCTACTTGCTCTCTCATTTTCTGTTTTTTCTATATCACTAGAGTTATTTAATTAATCAGAGGTATCCACTTGACCAAACATTTAGAGCTGAAAGAGAAATATTAATTATTTTAAATTAAAAATGTAAAGTTCTTGCAATATTAGTAATGACAGAAAATGTTACTGAAAACTAAGGTTCTTCTAATAAAAGTCTGAATGAGAAATATTTTTATAGTCCTTGCAGGGAAACACAAACAATGATATTGAACAACAAGACTTTCTTCAGTGCTAGACAGTCTAAATTTTACAATAGTTGGGCTCCATTACTGCTTAGATAAGCAGCTTAATATAAACATGGTTAATTATATTATAATCTATATATATAACTAGCCGTCCCGGCCAGGCCCTGCTCTGGCTTCTGTGAAAAACCTTTCTGTTAACGACCACTACCTGTGTGTTTAGTAATCATCATAAACCCGGCATTGCCCACCCAAACCACAACCAACCAAAACAACAAAACGCAAACATAACGCTAACACAATTACAAATACAAACGAAAACAAAAACCTAACAACAAACCCAACCACAACCACAAACACCAATACAAACACAAAGAAAAAACAAACAAAAAAGCAAACGAAAACAAAAACCTAACAACAAACCCAACCACAAACACCAATACCAACAAAAAAAAAAAAAAAAAAAACGAAAAAGCAAACGGAAACAAACCAAATCCAAACGCAAAACCAACCAAAAACACAAATACAAACCCAAACAAAAAAACACAAACAAAAACGAAAAAAGAAAGAACGAAAACAAACCAAATCCAAACGCAAAACCAACCAAAAACACAAATACAAACCCAAACAAAAAAAACACAAACAAAAACGAAAAAAGAAAGAACAAAAACGAACCAAATCAAAACGCAACCACTAACGCAAACCCACCTAAACACAAAGAAAACACTAACGCGAACATAAACGCCCGGGGCAGAATCGCCTGTTTTAGCTTAATAAACGACTATAGTACCCCAACTTATTCATAGTTTTTGCACTCACTTAAACGAACGCGCCTGTTTCAATTTAATGAGCAATTATAATACTCCAAGCTTATCCGTAAAATACCTAAAACATTTGCACTTGATCAATCCCCGCTAATTATGTAATTATTTTTTTCCCAACACCAAAACAAAGTAATTAAAAAGTAAATGCTTTTCAACTAATGCAATGGTTTCATAAAGGGAAGTAATTGTGTTTTGCCTAATTTATCAAAGGGAAGTAAGCGCTATAGGACTAAATAAAAACATAATTAGAATTTTTGTAAAAGATGATATTTTTTTAAAACTTGTGTTTAATGAACATGCCGACAATTATTACTATAATTTGAAAAATGAAAATGATTTCCCAACACTTTTAATAGTAATTTTTTAACTCATAAATTTAGACAACTGCGCACGATAATTGATCTAACACTTAAATCCGTAGAAATGCCAACGACAAACATGCGTTACAGAATTGAGCTTTATATATTAGATTCTCTTCTGGGAGACACTAGAAAACAAGCTGTAAGAGCGCTCCCTATCACCCCACCCCTACATGGTCTGGGGAGCTGTGGTTCACGCTAAATGTTTACATTAGTAGAGCCGGGTTTAGTGACGGCTATTAGGGGCAGATAATTTAGTTTGAAGCGATTTTAAACTTAGGGGAGGTAACTAGGAGGAGGCTGCTTTCACTGGGGGGGGGGTGTAGGGTAGGGGTTTGGAGGAAAGGAGGGTGGGGGTTGGGGAAGTATCATTCTTAACGCCCTACTGATAGTGTTTTAAAGCAAATATTTTCAGTGGCAGCATTGGTACTGACGAATTCACAAATTATGAATTACTAAAAAGTAGAAAATAAAAACAACTAAATAGCGGCATATGATATGCCGCGGGTCGGCTCGTAGTAAATAATTGCCTTATGATAAATGCAATTGCAAGTAATGGTTAGGCCCAATTATGTTGTTATGCTATATGGTCATTATTCAAAAAATAAATTAATTAATTTAAAAGCCTAATAAATATCATCTGGACATTTAAAATTATGCTCAATATTTAGTTTACTAATTGATTATTTAATATAAGTCATGATATCTAAGTTTTTATAAGTTATTTTTTATAACAGATAATGACAATTTAAAAATTCTATATTGACAATTTACACTCTTCTTCAGTTATATTACTTACTATCAGTCTATAACTCAATTATGTATTTGTGATGAAACTTTTTTTTAGGATAGAATTTTTATAATTTTGATTTAGGCCTATAAATTATTAAAATTAATAGTTACCAATACTATCTATACTATTCTATACTCCTGATAGGCAACCTATTTTTAGATTGCACTCAACGTAATTTTAAAAATATCATTATCAAGAGCACTGGACGTTTTAATCAGTCACTGGATGTGAACTAACATAAGGTAATCTATTGCTTTAGCGTAATCAATTCGGCCGGTGCTAGTAATGTACTAATGTAGGGATAAAGTAACTAATGAATATGGCTTAAAATTAAATATGAATATATTTTTGCATATTCTACTAAAACACTAAAGATAATTGAATATCAAACTACATTTAAGGGTTAAATCAATAAAAATGTCATGAAATTAAGGTTTAACAACGATGTTCCAGATACTAAATTTGCTATTAAAAACAGCGGCCGTCTTCAGAAAATATTATTTTGAGTCATTTCCCTTTAATTTCTATTTGTATGGAAATGTATTGATGTTTGCTATTAAATACGATTGTCTTGTGTTTAAATACAAAACATGCAGTTTTTTTTTTTACTTCTTCACTTTAAACAATTTAATTGACTGACAATAAACACCAGTTCTAGAATTATTATTATTATGAGATGTAATTTTTATATATTAAGAGACTCCCTATTTGTATAGAGCTACCACTACATATCTAATGTTTATTTAAATATTAGTTTGAGTAAAGTGTTGTTTGTGTTGTTTGTTTGCTATTCTCATTTCATGTCCATGCATTTTTCCTTTAATTAGTGATTTAATGATAAATGACGTCACGTTTTTGACCTCTCTTCACATTAACCACCCCCCTCGCACCCATCCCCATCCCCCCCCCCCCATTTTCGCCGTCACGAAATAGTCGTAATGTCGAAAATTACCTTTTTGCCCTGCCTGTTAAAAAGTCAAGCCATAATTCAAACGAAAAAGAATTTTTTAAGCATTTTTGTATTAGGCGATATACATAACATTTCATGTTTCTTACCCCTCCCCTTTCCCACGTAAAACGTCGTCTCAAAACCAGTTACTCCACCCCTTAAGTGCGTGATGTCATTTATCGTAGATGTCAAGTCCTAACCTCCAATACACATTTTGAACAACCTTTGTTGTCAAAATGTTGATACCAAATACCCAAAATGAGTTATATGGGGTTGTCCATAAACGATGTCACATATGCTATGCTAATGTGATGTAAACTTACGCAGGACCGCAATTTATGACCTATAATAAAGGGGTGATCGGGGGGGGGGGGGCAGGGGTGAGTGACGTCAATTATAAAAGACTTCTATAAAGCTGTGCTCAATGAAAATGAGGAACATAAAGCGTTCGTTTTCACGCATACCTTTGCTCATAACGACATGGGGCATAACAAAGGATCAACTCTTAATACGATAGCAGCTAATGTAAAGCCAGAGCTCAGTAGAGTTTAATATAGAAATAGTGTTAGCAGTTGACAGCCTCTAAGACGGTGCATTAGGAATACTGCCGTCGGCTAAAAGCCCAAATCTGAACATCAATTTTGTCTTTTATGAAGAGAGGAACATTTTTAAGAGCGGAGCTTAAGTGGGGGGGGGGGGGGGGGGGGTCCCTGTTGACACCGCCACTAGCGCGGCTTATGTCCACATATTAATCACAAGTTTTGCGTGGAGCTTAATGGACATACAAAGTTTATAGGTGGGACCGGGAGCCTAAATGCATTTACCTAAGCCGCTGTGTCACGGGCATTTTAGAGCCGAACGTCTCAGGGCAGCAGGTTGCAGAAATTAAAAGCACGTGAATTTGTATAGTAGAGGGAGAACACCATGCCACTGTAATAAATTAAACAACAATTTAATTCACCGAACTAAAGTCATTTAGATCTATTCGTCAGGCTAAACGTCGCTTAAGTCTCATCGCCAGTCATTTAGTGCCTGTTTTGATTTATTTTTTTTAAATTACGCATTACGCGTTATTTCTTTCTTTAACATTAGCCTAATGACAAATGACGTCACGCGCGCCGCAAACTTTGTGACGTGCTTAGAGGGGGATGAAACTGCATGGTTGAGAAAAATGACGTGTTTCTTTTTTTTTTACAGACGAATAAGTGATAGATTCTAATTTTCCTACGAACTATAGGTTGATCTAGTTTTTTTCTAGAGGGATATATCACTATATTGTGATGGGGGGGGGGGGGGGATTATATATAATCTCAATATATTCTGATCTACTACTATTTATACTCGTGAGGAGGACGGGAATCACTCTTATGTTCCGCAGACACTACCCAAATATTTTATTTAACGCGCACAATACTCTCGCACCAAATCGTCTACCGTCAAGTTCCCACCGTCCTTAGTAACCTCTACTCGTCTAGTCTAATTCTATATACCTACGCTATGACATATATAGTGGGTGTTTTTTTGTTTTTGTAATAATGGATGGTGGGGAGGGGTAAACATTGACTACTGAACAAATCAAAAACTGATGACAGCAGAAGGCAAAGAAAAGAAAGAAAAAAAAACAACCATGTGGTATTCAAATGTAACTAATTAAAATTTGCACCTATTTTAATAAACACAATAATCTTAATTCAGAAAAAGTGTAGGCCCTAATGTCTACAGACAAAATAAACAAGTAGGCTTAATCAAATCGATCGCCAATACATGACGTCATACTTTTCTCGACTGTTTCCCTCTCATCCAAATAGTTACTAAAAGCAAGATGATGATTTAATATCATATTGTAGTTATACTATACCCGAACCCTTAATCACAATTTCTAACGAAAACGAATTATATTCTTCATCATTTTTGAAAAAAATATTTTACAGGGTCCCATATTTTGAGTCTAACATCATTTATGAAGAATATGGACGACCTAATAATTGACAAGTTAATCAGTACAAAAGGGTTTAATAAATGTTGGATAGCCTTCAATCATTTCACTTGAAATTAAAGATAAGAAGACTGCCCTATGTCCTACTTATTATTAAACAAGACAGGTATGTATATTAAACAACAAAGTCAACACAATATACATACGAATAGACATTTTTAATTTTTTATCAAGGGAAACTACTCTAAATTTTATTTGGAAAGATGGCCGCTGTTTTTTTTTTCTACTAATATTTATCTCGAACACCTAGTTTAAAGTTAGTTTCATGTTATTTTAAATTGTTTGGGTCACTGATTGTTATTTTAAATCACTTATCTGTTATATTTTGTAAAATTTGACTTAAATAAGAAATAAACTTATTTAAACAAATATATTTATAATAATTTATATTTTATATTAATTTATATCATATCAGTTACCTCTCCCGCACATTACTACTGCAGCCGAATTGATTACGCTAAAACGATAGATTCAATTACCTTAACATAAATCCTCCTAACAATTACTAAAATTAATGAGTCACCTTCCATTCATATTACTAGCCAGCCGATTTTACGTACTTAAAATGATGATAGATTACCTATAAATTATAAATGTATAGACTATTAGCAGTATTTAATTACCCTATCTCTATTGGGCTTGTAAGAAGTTGTTAAAGTAGCTTACCAAGTTCTCGCTCCGGTAGTTGCCAGCTAGCGTTTTTTTTTTTTGTTTTTTCAAACCAAATGTGAATATTTTTTTTAAGTTATGAAATCTACTTTCGCTTTTGGAATCAAAACAAACTCCGACGAAAAGTTGTTTTAAGTAAATTAACTTTAAAATAACACACACACAAATATATTATATTTTATATAGATAGATCTAGAGTACACATGTTTTTTGACGTAGGACTAGACCCTGTATAATAATAATAATTTTTTAATAAAATATGAGATTTATAAAAGATTTCAATAGTAAATCAAGCCTAAATTTAATTATTAAGTATAGCCTAGATCTAGAGTCTAGATTTCTAGATCTAGAATTCTAGATGTAGACTAGATCTAGATCTATGACTAAAAAAAAGTCCTCTTGAAAATTCCGACGTAAACAGTAACATACGACATACAGGATTTTTTTTTTAATGTATAGACTCTAGAATAGTCTAGTTTCTAGATCTAGTTTCTTTTATTTTACAGTGTAGTTGATTGTAGACTTAAGAATTAAATACTAAATTAGGTCTATTAAATAGGCTACTTACTTTATTTTTTTAAGACAAGTAGACTAGAAGGGCCGGTGCGGCACCCCAGAGGCGTAGCTTCCCTTCCTGGAGAAAAATTTCAATTTTCGATTTGCACCCCCCCCCCCCCCATCAAACTTTCGATTTTCACCTCTGAAAAGACTATTTAACACTCCAATTAATCACTTAATTAAGTGGAATTATCATTTTTTTTATATATATTGCTATTTTTTTGCATTGGTGTCACCCCCTAAATGGTGTCACCGGGTGCGGTCCGCACCCCCCGCCCCATATCGATCTCTCTACGCCTCTGATATCAATTTATATAGAATTTAGATTTTTCTAGATCTAGTGGAGTTGAGTGTAGTCTTGTTATAGATTAGAACTTAAGAACTAGATCTAGAGTAGTGAACTGTAGTAATTTAGATCTAGAATCTAGTAATGCAAATTATGCAGTAATTGTAGATCTAGAATCTAGACACAAACTAGATTCTTCTAGATTTAGAATCTAGATTCTACGAAATTTATTATATTATTATTAGGCCTATTTGTTAATTTATATTATCAGATAATTGTGGTAAATGAAAGTCAACGCATCTAGCCTAACAAAATGCCATGAATTTAAAATATATTATGACTTAGAGAAAGTTTGGTGAAATGGAAATGTAATTTATTGATGTGTAACTTATTCGTATTATTCCTTTGGAACTGATAGTAGTTATAGTAATAAAAAGTTAATGAAATTATAGAGTTTTATCCAATTAATGTTTCTAAAGCCTTGCATGAACTTAATTTAAATATATTTAGCTGCCCAGACAAAGAACCCAATGAATTTTCCAGAATTGGCTTGTCATTTGACTGATGGTAACAAAGAGAATCACCCAGGATCTTTGCTGATAAGAAAATCTGAAGACGTACCTTATTCTTCTATACCTAAATGTGATTTGTCTAATGAAAATATTAATTCAGTGACCACTGCCAAAAATATTTTATCATTATTTCATACATCATCTTCTGAAATGTTGTTTTCTATCTCTAAACCTTCCACAATTTCTTCAAGAGATATTTTAACATCTTTACCTACTTCCCACAGTTCTTATGTTCAAAATTTGCAATGTTCTAAGAAACAAAGTAATAATAAATTTGTACCCAGTGTTTCAGTTTCAGCTCTATTAAAATGTAATAAATCAAACAATTTCAAAATTAAATGTTTCTTATCCCATATGAAAGTAGTCTGTTTTATTTAAGAAAAATCACCTTTAAAAAAATTTAATGTTTGGATGTCAATAAAACATAAGGACATGGACTGGTTTGTGGGTAAGCTTTTATACTTAATGTACAATGAAGATTCAGTTTTGATGTCAATATAGTTGCTTCTGAAAGAATAAACTATAAACAATAGCATTTATGTAAATATCTCAATGGCAGTTCAGCATACTCATCATTGATTTCAAATAACAAAACAGAACTACATTTTTAAAATTTAAAAAAAAAAATGAAAAGAATTTCATAAATGGATGTTTTTTAATTACTTAAAACAGAAGATGCATCAATACAGCATTACAAAGTATATAATTTATATTTGTTTTCATGGACAATCTTTAATTCTTAATTAAAAGTTAACTTCAGCTTCCTTGTGTCTAAAATTCCACATCCATGCTGTTCCATTTACCTAGAAATTAAATAAGGCTGCGGCTATTCGTAGTGAACTACAAATAGCCCTATGAAGGCTATTCGTACTCTGACCAATCAGCGTGCGGCATTTTTTTTTTAATTCTTGAATTCCCTTTTACATCTTTTACAAGCTGTATAGATATAGAACAAATTATTTTTTAGATCTCCCTAACCCTATACCTAACCCTATACCTAACCCTAACCCTATGCCTAACCCTTACCCTAACCCTAGCCTTAACCCTAACCCTAACCCTATCTCTAACCCTATACCTAACCCTAACCCTAATGCTAAACCCTAATCCTTAAAAAAAAAATTAAAAAAAAAAACCTCAGAGCCAGCGGGAATCGAACCCACGCCTCAAAAAATAGTAAGCCAATGCGCTACCACCACTTCGACCACCGGAACAGTTACGACAAACTACAAAATTTGAATCTCATACATAAACTGCAGGACAATGAATTTAAAAATAAATTTGATTGGTCGGCTAAAAATAGCGAAGTACGAATAGCCCTCTGAAGGCTATTTGTAGTGAAGTACCAATAGACACTTTAAACAACTTTCAGTAATATGAAAAAATTAATCATTGATTAAAACAGACAGTCAAATATAGCAGTTGAAGTTGAATTAAATTTCACCTGTTTCTGTGGCATTTACATGTTACAGGGTTTTCAGGTATATACCCAGCCACCTTTAATTTCCCTATCTTGAGCCAGGTACTCATGAGAGCTGGGTGGACTTAGGACATCATACTAGGACTAAAGCCAGGGATCTGAACTCTAGTCTATTGGGTTAGAAATGTGAAAGCTACTGTCTGAAAGTCCCACTATTGGGCCATATCAAGCACTGTTACATAAATTAAATCAATAATTAATAGTTACATAATTAATACTTACAGTAAATAATATTAGTAGCAGCATATTCTTTAAGAATTAGAACACTGAATTGGTTTCAAACTTGTGCTTAAGCTGAAGAATGGCTTATTATAAAAAAAACTCAGCTCACCTTTAGTTTAGCTCAAGATCAGCACCTATAGCCACAGTCAAGTGTGAGAAAATTGCTTGCCATGTACCTAGAGAATTTGGATATTATAAATTAGTAAGTTTATGCATATATTATATTAAAATAATTATTTAATTAATATGTGATATTATATAGGCCCTATATATAAGATTTCATTTAACTAACTACTAATTAAACTCTATTGTAACTTGATTAAGATCTATCATCTTGCTCTTCTAGTAGTCTACACTACTTACTACTTAGAAACTAAATTTATTGTAGATTTCTAGATCTACTAATTGCAAAACTGTAGTCTGTAAGCCCTAAATTTAAAATGTATCTAGATCTAGGTCTCTGCCGCAAAGCAGAAGAAGGGGGGTAACAGAGTATTATTCATATACTTGTTCAGTAGCCTATGCTATTTATATTTATTTTATCCTGGACAGTCTGCTCAAATACTGGACTGTCCAGTTCAAAACTGGACACCTGGCAACCCTACCATCCATGTAGCCATGTAGCCTATTGACACTATTGTCTCTATTGTTAATAAATACTAAATAGTATAGTAATAGACCTAGCTAGATTACTAGACTCTAAATTGTCTAAATCTAGATTAGTACTGATTACTAGTGATTACTAGATCTAGAATCTAGATCTATTTAATTAGATCTAATAAGATGTAGATTGTGGATAGATGATAGCTAGTCTAGATCTAGATCTAGATCTACTAGGGTTTAGCTTCGTGAAGTCTCGTTCGTGGCCACCGTGTTTTGGGCGGACATATAAAAAAATATCGAATCATTTCTTTCTCATGAAGTACATGATACTTATAAATTAGGATCGTATCGTAATCGGATAGATTTGTATCGAAACTGCCTATGTATTTACGGGGCGAATAATTAACATTTTAATAATGCTAGCTTTACCTAATTTCTTTCTTTATCTTTCACGAAGCTGACGAGGGAAAGTCACTCTTGTGCTTGAAGTCAAAATAAACTAAAGCAGGTGTGTGTATAATTGACTTCTTTTAATTTGTACATAATATTATAACATCTTCACTATGATACAAAAAAAGAATTGTATAATAAATCAACGGTCGAAACAAACCATTGCCCGTATAGACGACCATATTAAAAACCTCATAGGACGCCATTTTATAATAACCCTAACTAAACGCCGATTCCGGAAAAGGTGAAAAGGTTGGATGGGCTTTGACGGACTGATTGATTGAGTAATAATAAAACACGCCCCCAGAGTAAAAAAAAAACATTTTTCGAGCTTACATTTAAGTATTAAAAAACCGGATTATCAATGGAGTGTGACTCTGTGTAGTATAAGTAGTGTAGTTAATGTAGTAGTAGTAGTACTGACTTAGTGGGGTAAAATTATGCCGATGGCTGAGAAAGTTGGATCAGATCTCATAATAATAATATTAATCAATAATAGTCATCATAACTCTTCTCGGTAAAACCTTAGTTTAGCATCATAATTTCCAAAGTAGCTACTAGCTAGTAATGTGCGATGGAGGTAACTAATGAATATTTCTTTCATTTGGCCATATTTATGACATATTTTACATAATATAACAGATAATTGAATAACAAATCACAATCTATGACCAAACTATCCAAAAATATCCTGGAATAAACTTGTAAACTACTCCGTTCGAGACAACAATGAGTAAATACTTACTAAATACAAGCAGTGGCCATGTTTCAAAAACAATTATAGAGTAGTTTCCCTTGAAAAATTGTCTATTCACATGTCTGGTGTGTTGATTTTGTTATTTAATATGGTTACTTTGTATTGTTTTAATATATGCCTGTATAGTAATTTTTTTTTTCAATATAGTTGGCATGAATGACTAATAGACTTTTTCATACTCAATAGTGTGCATCCAAGACCACAACAATCATTGTGAGGTCGAACTTTCTAGAATCTTGGGTATTCTTTAGGCTGACTTTCTGGAGTTGTGGCTTTCACTTTTGATTGGATAGATTCCGATAGATGTTTACATTTTGGCAGTTATTTATTATATTAATATTGTCTATCAGCTGGACAAAAATAAAAAAAAAATAGGTTTAAGTTCCTTCAAATATTGTTACTGTTCTGTGGGTGGCTAGTTTTTAAAATAAATTTAGGGACTAGCAATATAAAATACATAGAGAAGACCATTTGCTAGGCTAGGGCATCATCATGGCGGATGTAAACATCATGTGGTTTTAGTCATGCGTGTGCAACCTCTCTATTAGTTTGACCAAGAAAATTGTATACATTTCATAGTTAGGTCTTGATAAGTAAATTTATAAAATCTAGATCTAAGTCAAATTTGAATGAAAAAGTTCATTTCTTTATATTCTAAAACTGGAAGAGGACACCATTGGTGTTGTGTTCATTCCGTAGTTTAAAATAGCTAAGCCAGTTTAGTAGAGTAACAGTGTCGTCCCCTAGCCTTCCTTGCACTACCTGTAAACAAATTAATAAATCCATATACACAAAACTTTTATGCATGCACATATATTAGTTCCCAGCCATACGAATAAAATAGCATTGAAAGTTTTTACAATTGTTGCAAGAAATTACAAGTCCTATTGTGTACAAATATTGTCTCAAAACTACAAAAAGTGCAAATTAGTGCCAAGCTGCCTAGAGAAATCAAGTGTTTATTAAGCTGTTTATGACAGTTTAGAACTGTAATTCAAATTAATTTTAACTCTTTTATTACATATTTGGATAAGATTAAGCACTTATTACTTACATTTAAAATCTAACAAAAGCAAAGTTTTGATTTTTGTTATTAGTATCTTAGTATTTCTATTTTTAAAAAGAATTTTAAGAAACTGGTAGCTTCAGATATTAATATGCAGTCCTGATTACTTTGCATTACTTTGCATTACTGGTTGTCTATTTTAAAATTACATCTGACTGAGTAATCATTAGTAATCAGACTGACAAAAGTCTGGCATGTGTTACAAATTTTGCCATGTTATTAGTAATAAGTTGTTTTGATTATTTAATCACCAGTTTAACATTTACATTTTTTTAATCATCAGTCCATATCTAAGAAGCTGTCCAGCATGGAGGTGGAAACAGATGTGTTAGCTGCAGTTTCATCTACTGTAGATATACAGTCAAATGAATTGACAGAGTTTTCATCTTCTGAAGATTTGAAACCAGATCTATCGGCCATATTTTCATCTTCTGCTGGCATCAAAACAGAATTATTGACATTTATTAATTTCCAGGATATAAAACCTAACATGTCATTTAAAACTTCTCAAGATGTTAAACCTGATATTAATTCAGAATTTTCTTCTTCTAATGACATAAAAATAAAACCAGAATTATCATTTTTTAATGTTCAGGATATAAAACCTAACATGTCATTTAAAACTTATCAAGATGTTAAGCCTGATAATACATTTTCAATTGAAAAAATTAATAAGAAACCTGCTGCATCAGCAGAATTTTCAACATCTGAAAATTTAAAACCAGAATTATCAAATACTGAATATTTAAAACAAGATTTCACAACAGAATTTTTATTTTTTGAGAATAAACAAGAAAATGGACTTGAAGAAAATCTACAATTGTCTGGGGACAACGAAAATAAAATTGTTTATTATGATAAAACATTTTCTCAAAGTTCTAAAAATTATATGCATAAAAATGTTCATTTTGAAGATAAGCCATATGACTGTGATGTTTGTCATAAAAGGTTTTCTCAAGGTTCTAACTTAAATCAACATAAAAAGATTCATACAGTAGAACATGCATATGATTGTGATGTTTGCCATAAAATCTTTGCAGATAAGAATGTTCTATTGCGACACAAAATTGTTCATTCTGAATATGAATGTAATATTTGTCTGAAAAGATGTTTATATAGTTTTAAGTTAAAAGAACATACAAAAGTTCATTCAGGAGATAAACCACATGAATGTGATGTTTGTCATAAAAATTTTTCTCGGAGTGATCATTTAAGAGAACATAAAAATGTTCATTCAGGAGAAAGGCCTTATGAATGTGATGTTTGTCATAAAAGGTTTTCTCAAAGTTCTATTTTAAGAACACATAAAAAGTTTCATTCAGGAGATAAACCACATGAATGTGATGTTTGTCATAAAAGGTTTATTAGAAATTGTGATTTAAAAAAACATAAAAATGTTCATTCAGGAGATAAAGCACATGAATGTGATGTTTGTTATAAAAAGTTTTCTCGAAGTGATTGTTTAAGAGAACATAAAAATCTTCATTCAGGAGAAAGGCCTTATGAATGTGATGTTTGTTATAAAAGGTTTTCTCAAAGTTCTAATTTAAGAACACATAAAAAGATTCATTCAGATGAAAGGCCACAGGAATCATGATGAATGTGATGTTTGTCCTATAAGGTTTGCTTGGATTTGTTAAGAGAGAATTTTGTTCTTTTGGGAGAAAAGCCATATGAATTTGATGTTTGTCCTAAATGATTTACTTAGAGTAGTTATTTAACTACACTTACAAAACTTTTTGGCTATAAATGGCTTCTCAACATTCTTATTTTAGTGCACATAAAAAAGTTAATTCAGGATACAAGCTACATGAATGTGGTATTTGTCATTAAAGATTTTCTTGAAGTTGTAGTCTAAATTATGTTTTTCTCAAAAGATTTTCTTAAATATCTAATTTAAATACTCTAAAAAATTAATTCTATAAATAAGACAGAGGAATATGATGTTGGTAAGGAAATGTTTTCTTTTTTTTGTCAAAGAAATTCATCATGACTTGAAAGCAATTAAATGTCATTTTTTAACATAATATCTATAGCAAATTTTATTATAAAATTTCTTATAATTTTTTTCTCTGCACATAAATTTAACTAGTGGTTAACCAAAAGTGGGTCATAGTTAATACATTTTTGTATTTGTATTATGAAAAGATTCTTTAGTCAAAGAGTATACCTTGACAATTATTATACATACTGTAAAAAATAAACTTATTCTATTATTTCAGCTGCATGTGTACTTTTTTTTCTTTATGTATCCTACTTCTTTTTGTGTTATTTGTAAATATGTATGATAGAAGAAGTAAGCTATCACTTTAGAGACCCAGGGTTTTATTTTTACACCCGCATGGTTTTTTTAGGCACACTGTTAATTTGCCTATTCTTTCCAAATTTTATAAAATTGACAATGCACATTCATTGGTACAAGGGAGTTTACCAATTCTGATCAAACCAATTACACATTAACAATAACAGAAGCTAACTAAAATAAAACACACTATTCAATTTCAATGTATTATTTACAAAACTTCTGAGCAGACAGTAATTTTTTTGTAAAAACTTTTTCATCTTTTGCTAAATGCCTTTAATCATTATATTGAGAGGTATAGAATCACAAATCCTATGACCAAACTCTACTGGATGCAATGTATAACTCAAACAGACCACATGTAAAAACTTCCTCTCCCTCCCCACTATTTACATGTCTTATGGAACTAACCCCAAGTTTCATGTTGCTAGATGTTTTTTTTTAAGTTCATTTAAATGCATTTGTTACATGTTATATATAGATTTTTATCTTTCTTCACACCTCAATATGAACTTTATGCCAAATCTCAGACTCCTCTCTGCATACTATGTGATTGAAAAGATAATAAAATAATTTTCTTCACTTATTCATATAGGCCATTCCATTTAAAGATTAATCACACATTTCAATGTCATAAATTTACATTAATTATTTTTACAAAAACAGCATAAAAATTATAAATTTGAAGAAAACAAAGACTGGAGCTGCAATTGTTACATTTTGTTATCTTAGTTTCAACATAATGTAAGTTTTGGCTAGTTATTATTTGATTGTGTATTCCTTACTAAAAATAGTACTATTAATATTAAGAAAATAGCATTGTAAAGTAAATTCTAATGTAGTGAATTATTAGAAATTGTAACATGAAAATTTTAAGAAATAAAATGGCTAAAGTGTGTGTAAAATTTTATTATTGTTTTTCTAACAACACTTTCTCTATGTACATTCCAATGAGGCCAATGTGTTTTGAATGCTGGGGTGTATTTTACTCTCTTGTGATGCTCCAAAGCCTGTACTTGCAAGTTAGGTAAGGCCAGTGTCGGACAACATTTGTTTGTTACTAATGTTAGTGTGAGCGGGTAAATGGATGTCTTATTTTGTATTATTTTATTGTGTGCGAATCTGCATGAATGGTCCACTTGACAGCGGCTACAGGGTTTCCCGTTCCGCACGAAGCGGTCAGTAAAAACTTACCGCTTGGATAACTTCTTTCTTTTGAGATGTAGATCAGGTCAGTTTCTGTGTGGGCTCACCTCGTGCGTGAAGGTATTTGTTTTTTAATTGTATTTGTACATGTGTGATTGGTATGAAAGCGACTGCCGATGCTTCTCGTTTTCTTTCTTTTTCGTCTGAAAAGAGATAGTGGGCATCGGCTTGTCTGGTATACTCGTGGTGTTTTCTTTTTTGAAAGGTTTGAAATGTATTTTGGTATTTTCTAAAACCCTTGGCGTGTTTTAGACCACGTGGTTTAGGTCGTTATGTTTAGGATTGTTTCCCAAACTGGTTTGAGTGTGTTTGTGTATTTTACTTTTTTATTTTAAAGTATTGTTATTGTGGGTTCCCCACGATGACTAAGTTGGGCTCAGTCACAAGTAATTTTGTTGTGTTAGTCTTAGACAGTAATGAGTGTATTTTAGGTTGCTGTAAAATTAATGTGTGTGATGTTTCTTACAACGTCTTGTTGAGTCACTTGCTTTGTGTCTACCTCTATTTGGGGCCTTAGCGGGGTGTGTTAACTTTATTGTTATCAATGTGGATGTTGTGTAGGTAGACCAATGGCTTCGTGCTGCTTCTTGTGTTGGATAGATTGGTTCTACAATGATGATTTTTATTGCACGTTATTTTTAATTGGCTAATTTCTTGGTTAGACAGTGATTTATTGTGGTTTTTGAGAATTGATTTAGTATTCTAGGATTAGTGGTAGTAGTAAGGATTAGTATTTTACTCGAGGCTTTAGATATCTTTAGTAGTAGTCAGTAGTATTTAAACATATGTATATATTGATGTATATATATTTTTCCATGCATTTTCTTATGTTTTCCTTTTCTTTTTTCTCTCCCCTCCCCCTTCCAGTGAAGTTGTTTGTGAAACTTGGCTTGATTTGTATGGATTGTTTTGTTTGATGTTTGGTGCGGATATTAGATGGCGTTTCGGTGGCAGTACTGGTAAGGATGGTTGTCTGTGTGTTCAGAGCCTAGACTCCGAGGTACCGAAGGTACATAATATCCCATTGAACGTTGTGTTTTGTTTGTTTGGTGATTGTTTAGTGTTGCATTAGGATGTTTTGAATTTGACTTAATGTTTACGTTTTTTTTGTTCCATTTTATTTCATGCAATAAATTCTGTAAATTGTTTTTTTTGTTTTACTTTTAGTGGTTTGTGTTTTTATTTAGACTAAGGTTAAGATTTAACCACCGTGGGTTTCACCACGGTTGCACTGACCTAGGGAAGGGTAGATAGATAATATGGTCAATTACATAGGTTTAGTCTCATCAAATGAAATATGGTCATTTGTTCTTAGTCTTTATGTAAATCATCACCATCTTCTTTTCGTGTCCAAGAACATGAAGTAGAGTTCATTTTTCAGAGACTTCAGCACCTAAAGGGATAGTGTGGTCAGCACTATGCCCAGCCGTCTTTGCTTTCCATAATGTGAGTCAGGTACACATCAGAGCTGGGTGAACTCTGTAACGTTCTACTGACTTTAACCCGCATTCAAACTCGAGACTTATTTTAGTAAATACTGTTAGTTTATTTAACCACATGCCACATACATTAATTTAACCTGCATTCAAGTTGGAGACTTAATTTTGTAAATACTATTAGTTTATTTAACAAAAGAGTTAATAGCTGGCCACATACAATATGAAAAATACAACCTCAACACAAACGCAATTAGAAATGAATCTCAACAATATTGTTTACATCTGAGAAAAAATTTATGTCAAAATTTATAAACATAATTAACAAATTTAAAGAATCCAACAGGTAAATAAAAAAAAAACAGAAATAGGCATATATTTCAGATTAGACAGAATTTAACTATTTAATTTACAATTTAAAACCAAATTAATGTAAATTTAAAAAAAAAAAATTAAAAAAAAATATTTGTGTAACTAATTAGCTCTTTAGAAATAAAGAGGAGAATTTGGTTAAGATAGTGTTAAAAGACTGCTAATTGTGACATCACTTCTACTGATGCACAAAGCCCAGTACAAAACATTAAGACCTTAATTGTGCAAAATACTAATGCTTTTTAAAATTGATAGAACTTGTGGTAATTTAAATAAAGTTTGATAATTTACAGGAACTTAAATAAATAACTTAAATAATATTAAGAGTTTAAAAGAAAAGCAAGTGTAACAGTCATCATCCAAAATTAAACTGTCACTACTATCAAAATGCTGTATTGGTTTGATAATTACATTTAAAGTTGATAAGATGACATAAAGAATCAAGTGTGTAATTTTTCAACACCATTTGTCTCGTTATGGGTTTAAATTAATCCTATGATGTAGCCTAAACAGAGATTGACGAGGTGTTACATAGCTGCAGATATTTCAGAAGAACTGTTAATTAACATGTTTATTTTCTTATGTGTCCAATAAATTTCAATGTATATCATAAGCAATAGAAAAGCTTTATCATATGTTAAAGAAAAGAACATAAAAGCCTATACGGCTTAACTATTACTAGTAAATGTGTTTACAGAAATCAAATTACTAGTTATAAAAGAAAATACATTTACCAAAACTTCAGATAAGCTTCAAATAGAAAGAAGATAACACAGACTTCCAATAAATAACACAATACTTTTCTTGATATGTGACAAGCAGATATAAAAAAAACTTTTAAAAAGTAAAAAAACAAACTTTGCAGTATGATGGTATTGAAAGAGACACAAGCCCACTGTTGGAAATAGCTGTAACTTGAGCAAATTAAACATTTTACAACCCCCCCCCTCATCTAACTGTGATTGGGTATAAACAGAATTGGAGGCATGCAAAAAAAAAAAAAAACACCAGTGTTTTTACTACCAATAAAATTTTTTTTTTTTAAATTGCAGCATAAATTTACATTTCTTCAGTCACATCAGTTTTATAATATATTTTTCGATTGTGAGAGGGTTGAACTACTTGGTTCATTACCATGTGAGAATATCAGACAACATAGGCAGTCATTATACCATTACACATCTAGACGACACAGGTGACTTTTTATTGACAAGATGAAAATAGGTTTTTCTTCTGATATTTATTAAACACATTCTGCTTATAATCGTCATCCACATGGATGTCTCACGATTCACTCTACAGAGTCACACTGGTCATATACTATAATATATTGAGATAATTGTGAGGTCAAGGAAACTCACTCTTCTTGTGTTGGTTATATTTATAATGTTGTTATTATGAGTGATGTCCCTTGTGTATTCTTCTTCCTCTTCCGGTCTACAAATAAAGATGTCTACATGCTAATGGCTTCTATCTCCGTTGTGTATTCCTAATCTATCACATTGGCGACGAAGATAAATAATCCACTAGAAAGAGCACCTACTTACGCAAAAAAGAGGTTTGCTAGAGCATATTTGCTAAGTATTTCTAGGAAAATGGCGCTGTATGGCCAAATAAAAGAATTTGATTCGAATGATGAAATCATTCATGATTATCTAGAGAGGTTAAGCTTTTACCTTGAAGCAAACGACGTGACGATAGAAGCCAAAAAGAGAGCTGTTTTGTTAACAGTCATAGGGCCTCAACAATTTAGGCTACTAAAAGACTTATGCGCACCAGCTAGTCTAACTACCAAGAGCTTTAACGAGCTGAGCAAATTGCTAACAGACCACCATGCGCCTACCCCATCAAAGTTTCTATGTAGAGCTAGATTTGACAGTAGGACTCGTCAACCAAACGAGTCAATATCAGAATATGTTGCTGCTTTACGTCATTTAAGTAGATTCTGTGAATTCGGAGACACGCTGTCTGACAGACTATGTGAAAAGTTTGTGACAGGTGTAAACAGCCCTGATATTCAAAGAAAGTTGCTGCTCGAGTCAGATCTAACATTAGAAAAAGCATAACAACTTGCAACTTCATACCAGCAGTCATCCGATGCGGCGAGATCTCTAACGTCTTCAGATCCATGCAGTAAACAGCAGGTTAGTCAATAAACACCAACCCCATCAGAGCATTTCAACTTATGCTAAACAGCCTGCACGTTCAAATCCTAGATCTAAATCTAGTAATAATTATCAAAAATGTCATCGATGCAAAGGTCCCCATGCATCTCATCGGTGCAAGTTTAAGTCTGCAACTTGTTATAAGTGCAGTAAGCAAGGTCACATTGCCAAGGCCTGCTTTGCAAAGTCTTCGTCTGTTGCTAAATCTAGCCAGTCAAGACAGTACTGCAACCATAGGCAGCACTATGTTAACTCTCACCAAGACTACCTAACCCAACCAATGAACCACTCTACCAGTGAAAATACTCAAACTGATTCGCAGCCGGATTTCAGCCTGTTCTCTGTGAAATCAATAAGTCGTGCTCCCATCAATGTACCAGTTAATATCAACGGTAAGAGCATCAGCTTCCAACTTGACACTGGAGCATCTCTAACAGTCATCACAAAGAAGGACTTTGACGCTGTCACAGGAGGATCAGTGCCTCTACAGCCATGTCACAAGTGTCTAACAACATACACTGGTGACAATGTTCCGGTGATAGGAGAGTGTATGGTTCATGTAAGTTATAATGGTCAAAGTGTTAAACTTCCTCTTCTTGTGGTTGAAGGAAATGGACCACCATTACTAGGTAGGAACTGGTTAAGTGATCTTAAGTTAAATTGGGAGAGTATATGTTCATTGAACATTGCAAGAGAATCTAGTCTTACTTCAATAGATAAAGTTATATCTGAAAATAAATGTGTTTTTGGTAACTCTGGATTACTAAATGATAGAACAGTGAAGTTAAGCATTAAAGACACAAATCCAAGATACTGCAAAGCTAGAGTTCCACCTTATGCAATGAGGAATAAAATTGAAAATGAGCTAAGTAGATTGGAATCTAATGGCATCATAAAGAAGGTAGACTATTCCGATTGGGCAACGCCCATTGTGCCAGTGTTAAAGAAGGATGGTTCTATAAGAATTTGTGGAGACTATAAAACTACACTGAATAAGCAAATAGAGCTAAATAGGTACCCTATTCCTAACATTGAGGAAATTTCTTTGAATTTGGCAGGAGGAGACAAATTCACTGAATTAGACTTTAGTCATGCTTACACTCAACTAGAACTGCATCCAGATTCAAAAGTCTATACGACAATAAACACACATAAAGGACTCTACCAATATGAAAGACTATGTTTTGGTATATCATCCAGCCCTGGAATTTTCCAGGCTGTCATGGACAGTATTTTTAAGGATATTCCAAATGTTTGTGTTTACTTTGACAATGTGTACATAACTGGTAAGAATGACACTGAACATCTTAAAACACTAGATAAAGTCTTGAAAATAGTTGGTGAAAAAGGTTTAAAGATAAACAAAGATAAATGTCAATTCATGTTGACAGAAATTAGTTTTCTTGGTTATATATTGAGCAAACAAGGCATCAGACCTCAACCTGAGAAAACAAAAACCATTAAAGAAAGAAAGAGTAAACAGGTTCTTAGCCAAATACCGCACAACTCCTCATATAACAACAGGTGTTGCACCATGCGAATTGCTATGTGGTAGGAAAATTAAAACTCATCTTGACCTACTACATCCAACTGTTCAAAGGTCTGTTTCCCAACATCAACATACACAAAAAGTAAATCATGACAAAACATCCATTGAAAGAGAATTTGCAGTTAATGATAATGTGTATTTGAGAAATTATGGGAGAGAGGAAAAATGGATACCAGGTCAAATTGTTCAATGTACAGGACCTGTGTCTTATAAAGTAAAAACAAATGATGGACTTATTGCCCGTAGACATGCAGACCAGTTAAAAATAACTTGTGCAGATAATAAGTGTGAATCTCTCAATCCCACCAAATCTGATCAGTTCACACCAACTCAGTTTGTTCCACAACCAAGTTCTGTTGATATGAGTGAACCAAGTAGTCTTGAGTCAGAAAATGTAAATTCTGGAATTAATGATTTAGATCCTAGACCTCCTGAGATAGAGAATTCATATGGTCAGAATCTTGAGTCACCAAATCAAAAGCCACTGAGAAGGTCAAACAGGACAATCAAAGTCCCAGATAAGTTAGACCTATGATTTTAAAGGTCAAAAGGACTTTGACATCATTGTTTTGTATCTTGATTATGTTGTAGCATATTGTGCATTGTTTGTAAGGGTGTAATCTACCATAATGTTCATGTTACAATATATTTGGTGATTTTAGGATACTATCAATTGTTCTATTGAGAGATGTGTTGTTGTTTACTAAGGGTAAAGGGATGTAATATATTGAGATTTGTGAAGTCAAGGGAACTCACTCTTTTTGTATTAGTTATATTTGTAATGTTGTTATTGAGTGATGTCCCTTGTATTTATCTATCGTTGCTTCCTGTTCCGGTTTCCATCATGTTAGCTGAGGCCCAATAAAGTATGATATACAAACAGCATGGTTTCTGTCGTCAGTGTTTCCAATCTATTACATTCTGTAAAATGATTATGGGATGGCTTGGCCAAGCAGTAAAAAACCGGACTTCTCACCCGAAAGTCTCTAGTTTGAATCCCTGTTCAAGTCAGTAGAATGGCCATGTGTACACCCAGCTCTGATAGGTACCAGGGGGGGGGGGGGGCGGAATGCGGCTGGTCATACTGCTGACAAGACTTTCCTTTCATATACTGAGGTCACTGAAACAGATGAACTCTACTTCATCTACCTAGTGTGTCTTGGTTACGAACGTGAAAAGGCTAAATAAAAACGTGTATTTTTATTATTTTTATTACCATTTCATTTAACATGTTTGATCATGCAGTGTAAAAGTCACTGCTTGTAGGAGTGTCAAACTGATTTTTCAAAACCTTCCTAGAACTTTTTTGAAAGTTGCTATGTCAAGAACTCATGATTCTAAGATAGTGGGCACTAAATTTGTTCATATATCTCAAGTAGTAAAAAAAAAGTATGAATTGGTTTTTAACTTTTTTTCCAACACCCTAAAAAGTGCCATGTTTGAGAGGTTATATCTGTAAAAGTATATATCACAAAGACAATCTTTTGAACTCAACACAAACATACATACAGAGAGAACAGACTCAATTTTTTTCAAAGCTCAAAAATAAATACATCTTAAATTAATTGCCTTGAAATTGGCTTTTCTCACTTTTGAAAAAATTAGAAAGGGAAGTATACATGCTAGGTGTGGGACGGGGGAGGGAGGGGAAGAAGGGGAGGGTTTCTATTATAGGGGGAAATAGAAAGGGCAGTGACTGCAAATTTTCTCAAACAATTCACGATATTAAAAAGCCGTTCTGTACAATCGGACAATTTACATCTGTGCTACAGTCGCAATTGTGTAGTTATTTTTATTGCATCTCAGTAGAAAATTACTGCCTAGGGTTAGAATGAGGAATTATATGTTTAATATTTTTAAAAAGCCATCCTTAATCCTAACAGAACATTAATATGGTCTATTACATAGGTTAAGTTTCATCAAAGAAAAATTGTCATTTGTTCTTAGTTTTTTATTTGAACAATCATCTTCTTTCCCCATTTGTGCCCAAGACAAATGAGCAGATGAAGTGGAGTTCATCTGTATCAGGAACCTTGGCATATTAAAGGGTAGTGTGGTCAATACTATTCCCAGACGCCTCTGCTTTCCATAATGTGAGTTGGGTACCCATCAAAGCTGGGTGGACTCAGGAACGTTCTACTAACTTAAATCCTAATTCAAACTCGAGACTTATTTGTGTAAATACTGTTAGTTTATTTAACAAAAGAGTTAACAGCTTGCCACATACAACATGAAAAATACAATCTCATCACCAACACAACTAGAAATGAATCTCAGCAATAATGTTTTACTGCTGAGAAAAACATTATGTCAAAATGTATAAACATAATTAACAACATCAAAGAATCCAACAGGTAAATAAAAAATAATAAGAAACAAAAATAGATTAGACATAATGTTATTTATTAATTGACAATTTAAAAATAAACAAAATGTACATTTAAAAAATTAGAAAATTTTTAAAAATCTTTTTGTAATAGTTAACAAAGAGGAGAATTAGGTTATGGTAGTGTTAAAACACCTTCTGATGGACAAAGCTCAGAAAAAAAAATAAAGTTTCTCATTATGCAAAATATTGATCCTTTTCAAAATTGATAGAATTTGTGGAAATTTAAATAAAGTTTGATAACTTAAATGAACTAAAATTAGCCTCATTAACAACCTTACAAACAAAAATACATTGGCCTAATACAATTAACACATCAGATTATCTCCTGTTTCTAGACACATTTTACCCCCCTAACATTTACACCTTATACAAATTAGTATAAAAATATATAAAAGGCATATATATTTGTCATCAATAATGTTATCCACTTAAAATTAAACTGTCGTAATGCTATATTGGTTTGATGATTAACATGATACACCAATAAAACTGGTAACAAAAACCCAGTTTTGTTTCATTAAATCATCAGACTAGATGAATGAGTTGCAAGAGGTGAATTAAAGCTAGACACTGGCTGCATTGTTTAACACATAGGTTGCAATGACTTTCAGAAGATGTAAATAAGTGACAAGCATTGCAGGTGTGAGGTTATATGTTCTTGTGAATTCACTGATGGACAGAGAATCCAGTTTGTTTTTGTTGTGTAGGCCCTAATTACATTTTGAACATTATAAGTAGATCTCTGATGAGTACACTCGTGTGAACTCTTAGTTTAACTGTCCAAGTAAAATATGTTTTACACAGTGTATATTTAAAAGGGTAAACTTATAATGAGTGTCTATCAAGTGTGGATCTTATTCGTTAGATAAATTAAAACCTCTCACAATGACTACCTAGTAATATTATATATAGTTACATAGGTGTATGTACAAGTTGATCAGATGACAGGTGAGAATCAAGTGTATAAGTATAATTTTCAAAATCATTTGTATTGTTGGGAGTTTAAATGAATCCTCTAGTCCAGGGGTTGGCTACCTGCGGCTCGCGAGCCGCATGCAGCTCTTTTGATGTCAAGATGCGGCTCTCCAGCTCCTTGCACAAATATTAATAGTTGTATTATTTCATTTTCAAAACTAATAACAAACATTAAAATGTAAAGACACACACATTTAAACAGAAGAAAAAACTTGTCAGAGAACAGTGAGAATAGGTGCAATAGAAAGTATACGGACAGCCGCTTGGGCACCAGGCCCAGCCCCACAGCCATGCTGTAGCCAGCCCCGTGGCAACAATACCATGCTTACCACTGCCCATGTGCCGAATTTTACGAATATCGTTAAATGGGGAATGTTATTTTATTCAGAATGCATTTCCCTATCGGTCAATAATCATTAATGAGTGACGTAGTTATTTAGTTATTAGCTTTCTACTGTTGAGCCGGGTACTGGACGGTTGGGTACAATGGTGGGGACACATTTCTTAGCCTGTGATGTTTGTCAAGAAAAAAAAAAGTTAACAGCTTCTAAAATTGATTGGGATTGTCCTATAGTTTTATTTTTTGTATACTTATTTCATAACTTGGCGAAACAAGAGTATTTTTTTTTATTTGAATAAACATTATTTCATATTTAATGCTATTTATTTTAAATAAAAAAATCCATTTTTTCCTAATCCTTATAAAATATTTGAAATAAAAATGTTAATGGCTCTTTAAAAAATGGGAACTTTTGAAAATTGTAACTTTTGGCTCTTCCGTCTCAAAAGGTTGCCAACCCCTGCTCGAGTCCATAGTGCCACCTGAATAGAAATCTGTGAGCTGTTATGTTATTGAAAATATTTCATAACTACTGATTAATTAGCAAGTTAATTTATAAGCCTATGTAGCACAAACTATTACTACTAGACATTGTGTTGCAACTGATAAAACAAATGAGTGTCGTTATTTGAAGTTTTTTTGAACACATTATATTCTTTAAATAATGTCTGAAATATTTTTACATCATATATGATTTTATACATCAAATTAAAAGTTGAATTAATGACTCTCTGAGTGATATAAGAAAAATACACTTACCAAAACTTAAGATAAGTTTCAAATTAGAAAGAAAATAACATAGGCTTACCATGGACTGTGACTTTGCTGATGACTTGGCTTTACTCTCACATGCCCAAAAAGACATCCAAGCAAAAACAACAAAAATAGAGCAAATTGCTAAAAGCGGTGGGCTAATGATAAACTTAAAATAAAAACCAAAAGTGCTCTCAAGACCTTTGCGAATGGAGCAGAGCTAGAAGAGGTAAAAGACTTTAAGTACTTCAGCAGCTATATATCAGTTAATGACAGCATGGAGAAAGAAATGGCCACCAGAATAGCAATGGCAGCACAAGCTTTTAACAGACTCGCTAAGATCTAGAAATCATCCTCACTGCAGCAGAGAACTAAAATAAGGATCTACAAGTCTAATGTATGTTCTGTACTCCTCTATGCTGCACAGTCATGGAAACTAAACAAGAAAGGAGAGAGCCGACTCAGAGGCTTTGAAAGAAGATCCCTCCAATGCATCCTCAGAATAAAGTGGGATGACAAAGTCCTGAACAAGGAAATATGGCGAAGGACAGGATTAAACGACATTGTTTCAGAAGTTTGAATGAGGAGATGGAGATGGCTGGGCCATGTCCTACGCAAAAAGAAGACTCCCCAACATGGCGCTAAAGTGGACTCCGCCTGGAAAGCGAAAGGGAGGAAGACCACTGGGAACATGGAGGAGAGAGATGGAAGAAGAAGTGCAGGCTACTGGCAAGACCTGGCATGAACTAAAGTGGCTCGCTTAAGACAGAGTGGAATGGCGGAGATTTGTTGTTGCCCTATACTCCAATTAAGTATTAAGGATTAAGTAAGTAAGTACCATGCATAACAAAATCTATATCTTGACATATGACAAACAGTTAAAAAAAAATACTATAAAGTTAAAAAATGAAAATGTGTGGTATTATGACATTGAAAGAGACACAAGCCAACTGTTGGAAATACTGTAACTTGTGTATCTTAAACATACCCCAAGTGTTTTATTGATTGGTATAAACAGAATAATTGGTATGCAAAAAGATCATTAGTATTTTTCTACCAATACCTATAAAAATCAAACAGCAGCATAAAGTTAGATATCAATAAAAATTCAGAAGCCATATATTGTTTTCAGTGAAAACATTAGACTAAATGAATACGTTGTTTGTGGCGGATTAAGATTATACGCTGGTTAAATCGTTTATCACAAATGTTGCAGCAGTATGGCTTTTCGCCAGAGTGAATCCTTAAATGATTTACTAGAGATCCTCTAGAAGCTGTTGAATAGTCACAAGCATTGCATTTGTGAGGCTTTGTATTCATGTGAACTCTCCTGTGAACTAAGAAAGCAGTTTTTTCATTTGATGTGTATTCACATGTATCACACTTGTATAGTAAATCCCTGGTATGAATGCTTGTGTGAACTCTTAGTGCATCTTTCCTGGTAAAAGATTTCTCACATACTGAACATTTAAAAGGTTTGTGTCTGAAGTGTGTTTTTGTAAGGTGTAGATCATATTCATCTGATAAGTTAAAACCCCTGTCACAATGGTCACATATATAAAACTGCATATTTGTATGTATTAGATGATGGGATGACAGGTGAGCTAAGGAATCAAAACCTTTTTGGCAAATATCACAAGTATGTAATTTATCAACACCATCTACCTGAATTATAATTGATTGAGGATTTGAATGAATCTTTTGATGTCTTTTAAGCAGAGATAAATAAGGTGTTGTGTAATTGCATTTCTCACATTTGTGAATTGATTCTCCATTATGCAATCTAATGTGAGCTTTAAGATAACGTTTATCTACATAACATTTTTCACAAATTTCACATTTAAATGGCTTATACCTAAAATGTGTTGCTAAGTGTAGATCATATTCTTCTCCAATGTTAAAGCTTTTATCACAGTGGCAACATATGTAACATTGCATTGGAGTGTGTACAATTTTATGAGAAGCCAAATGAGATAAGGATTTAAAACTTTTTTGGCAAATGTCACACACAGAAATCTCAGTTGGAGGATCACTGCCTCTCTGTTTATCATTATGGTATAGTTGACAAGTTGTACAATTCTCCAGAGCACATTTACATTTTTGCCCAGTTAAAGTCCGTAACTTTTGAGGTCCAGTTGTTTTATTTTCATGATTTATCTGCAATTTTTCACACATTTTGAATATAGGGGGGTACAACTCAGCTATCTATTCATTAGTTGATGATACATTTTCTTTCTCCTTCTGTATTGAGCACTTGACTTCAACATTTCCACAATTTGAAGAAGTGGATCTGTAATCTGTTGGGTACTTACATGAAGATATCACGGTTTCCTTTTTGAAATTGTCCTTCTGTAAACCAGTAGCAATGTTTTCTCTCTGTTTATCATTATGGTATTGTTGACAAGTTGTACAATTCTCCAGAGCACATTCACATTTTTGCCCAGTTAAAGACTGTAACTTTTGAGGTCCAGTTGTTTTATTTTCATGATTTATCTGCAACTTTTCACATGTTTTGAACATATTGGGGTACAACTCAGCTATCTTTTCATTAGTTAATGATACATTTTCTTTCTCCTTCAGTATTGAGCACTTGACTTCTACATTTCCACAATTTGAAGAAGTGGATCTGTAATCTGGTGGGTATTTACATGAAGATATCAAGGTTTCCTCTCTGAAATTGTCCTTTAGTAAATCAGAAACAATGTTTTCTTTTGATAGAGCCATATGAACTTCTGTGTGATGTTTTTTCAGCTTACTCCATTTCCTGGTGGTAAAAGCACAAAACTCACACGCCATCCTATCCTTTGGATGAAATTCCTTTTTATGTTTAGCAAACAATGGCTCCTCTGCAACTATAAAATCACAAAAACAACAGTTTATAGATTGCACTTCTGTGTGCTTTTTATTCCAATGTTTTTGTAATCTTTCAAAAGAAGAAAATGTTTTTGAACAGATGTCACAGTGACCCACTTGCTCTCTCATTTTCTTTTGTTCTATAATGCTAGAGTTATTAAATTAATAGGATGTATCCACTTGACCAAACATTTAGAGCTGGAAGAGAAATATTTGATACTCTTTAATTATTCTAAATTAAAAAGTAATTAAAGATCTTGTAATGACAGAAAATGTTACTTACAACTAAGGTTATTCTAACAATTTAAATGAGAAATATTTATGTGAGCCATGCTGGAAAACACAAATAATATTTTAACTATAAGCAATAACCCTAGCCTAAGATTATCTTCAGTGCAAGACAGTCTAGGGGTCGTCCATAAATGACGTCACACTTGTAGGGGGAGAGGGGGTCCGTAATTTTGTGACGGTGTGTGATGAGGGGGAGGGGTGTTCAGATGGTGCGACGTCACACTTTTGCATTATAAAAAAGAAATGTTAGAAAACGAATTTTAGACGTTATTTAGCGTTTTAGAAAACTAAATAAATTGTAATAGGAATTGAGTTCAGACAAGATTTTGGAAAAATAAAAATTCAACTGCAATTTTGAGGGGGGGGGGGGGTTGTAGGCTGAGGTGTGACATCATTTTAGGGGGGGAGTCTGGCTTTTTTGTGACAATGTGTGACGGAGGGGAAGGGGGGGGGGGGGGGTAAAATCGTCAAAAAATGTGTGACATCATTTATTGATGACACCCTAGCTGCCTAGCTCTAGTCTTTAAAATAGGCTTCATCACTAATCTAGACTTTTAGTAATTAATTAAAAAAGAGGCTTAATATAAGTAATAGTTAGGCCCAATTATGTTATTAATATTACTATTATGCTATTACATTATACACAATATATAGTATATAGATCTAGGTCAGGGGTCGGCAATCTGCGGCTCATGAGCTGCATGCGGCTCTTTTGATGTCAAGATGCGGCTCTCCAATTCCATGCGAAAATATTGATTATAATATTTTATTTTTCAAACTCGTTAAAAAGAATTATACTGTAAAGAAAAGCATCTTAAACTTTAAACAGGATAAAAACACTCATCAGAGAACAGTGAGAATAGGTGGAGTAGATAGTTTACGGACAGCTTACAGCCGCTTGGGCACCTGGCCCAGGCCCACAACCGTGGCAAGAAACCCATGCTTGCCACTGTCCAAGTTCCGACGTTTTAGAACACGTATTTTAGTTGCTAGCCTCCAATGGTTGAGGCAGGTACTGGACAAATATTGATTGGCTGTACAGTAACTTAGTGAAGAGAATAGATTTGACACTTTTGCATTGTATAAAATATGTATTGTCACACAGAGGCGTTGCGTGCCGGGGGCGTTATGTAGGGACCGCACGGGTGACACCATTTTTCAAGGGGAGGGGAGTCACACTATGGCGAAAATATGCAACATTTTAATATGTTTTTGCCAGTTCAATTAATGATTAATTAGAGTTCATCCACGTACATTAAACTTACTATAGATAAACCTCTTTACTATTGACTGTACACAGTGGCGTCGCCAGGTTGGGCGTCACCCGATGCGGTACTTCGTAATCTCACCCCCCCCCCCCTCAAATATGTGTCACTCCCACCACCTTGTAATATTTGTCAATTTGTACGTAAAAGACTGTTTAACTTTAATTAATGATTAATGGAACTGGTTATTTTTGCCATGATGTCACCTCCTTAAATGGTGTTTTCCAAATTAATTAATTGGTGGATTAATATAATGCTTGCAGAAATTGACGCCATAAGCAACTCGGGGGGTGGGGGGTGACACCAATTGCAACTATATTATAGGCCTATAATGTAGACCTTATAAATTTTATATATATATATATATATATATATATATATATATATATATATATATATATATATATATATATATATATATATATATATATATTTATATATATATTTATATATATATATATTTATATATATATATATATTTATATATATATGGTGCGCTGTCTAAACGGCCCGGGACAAAACGGCCCAGTCAAAATAGCCTCGCGAAAAGGGCCCCGACTTATTGGCTCCCGTCAAATGGGCTCCCGTTATATATATATATATATATATATATATATATATATATATATATATATATAATTTATATCGAACTTGTGAAATTATTCGAGGAAATAAAAAACGCTTAAATCTTTAATCAATATTTGACATTTTAAAACTCAAAAAAGAATGTTGCCAGCGCGGACAATATTAAAATTTCATTAGATCTAGAGACCCGTAACAATGTATCATTTTTAAAAAGTGTTCATAAAGTAAATTGTGTTCATACTTAATGTAGTGTGACTTGAGTTAATCATCTTGATCAGTGTTTCTTCCAGACTTTTTTCTCCGGGGGGGCACTTGAAATTTTCGGGGGAGCGGTAGACTTTCTTCGGGGGGGGGGGGGGGGCGGACACTGTTAAAAGTATATATTTTCTATATAAATTATATAAATTTTATTTCGTTCGGGGGGGGGGGCGGTAAAAACTGGAAGAAACTCTGATCTTGATCTATTTACTGAGTATCTAACACTTAAACAGTGTGACAGCTTACAAGTGTAGTACTGCGCACTAGATCTAGAATATCATATAAGAAATTAAATATAACAACTACTACTAGATCTAAATAATAAAGAATTATCTTACTTTGGCCACAACTGCTGGCCCTAAGCTTCCAATGTCTTCATAAACAATCACAAGTCCATCCGTAAAATCAAGTTAAGTGTATTTTTGTGTATTTAAAATGATCTATCATACAACTAAATCTAAATTCTAGAATCTTGCGTATTCTTGAGGCTGACTCTCTGGAGTTCTGGCTTTCACTTTTGATTGGATAGATTCAGATAGATGTTTACATTTTTGTCAGTTATTTATTATTATTCATATTGTCTATCAGCTGGACAAAAAGCAAAAAAAAAAAAAATGGTTCCTGAATAATTTAAGTTTCTTCAAATATTTTTGCTGGTCTGCGGGTGGCTGGTTTTTAAAATAAACTTAGGGACTAGCATATAAAAGGCCTCATGAATGTAATGTTTGTAATAAAAGGTTTTCTCTAAGTTCTAATTTAAGAATACATAAAAAGATTCATTCAGATGAAAGGCCACCTGAATCTTGTTGAATGTGATGTTTGTCCTATTGGGTTTTCTTCGAAGTGTGAATTATTACGAGATATTTTGTTCTTTTGGGAAAAAGAGCCATTTGAATTTGATGTTTGTCCTAAATGATTTACTGTGACAATTATTATACATACTGTAAAAAAGAAATGTATTCTATTATGTCAGCTACTTGTGTACATTTTTTTCTTTATTTATCCTACTTCTTTTTGTGTTATTTGTAAATATGTATGATAGAAGAAGTAAGCTATCACTTTCGAGACCCAGGGTTTTATTTTTATACCCGCATGGTTTTGTTCAGGCCACACAGTTAATTTGCCTGTTTCAGATTATATAAAATTGACAATGCACAATTATTGGGACAAGGGAGTTAACCAATTCTGATCAAACCAATTACACATTAACAATAACAGAAGCTAACTAAAATAAAACACGCTGTTCAACTTCAATGTATTATTTACATTTACTAGAGTAGATATTTACAATATAAGTACTGTAATACAATTATCATTCATACTTTACACATTTAAACTACTCACAAACAGCTCAGTCAGACATACAGCAACATAACAGAATATCAGGTTGGCAGTTAATACGACCTCCATTAGACAAGTACAATGACATCAGGCCAGCAGTCACAGTGGCATCTGGCCAACAGGTACAGTGACATCAAAACTGAGCAGACAAAATATTTTTTGTAAAAACTTTTTCATCCTTAGCTAAATGTCCTTAATCATTATATTGAGAGGTATGAAATTTCAAATCATATGATCAAACTCTACTGGCTGCAATGTATAACTCAAACAGACCATATGTAAAAACTTCCTCTCCCTCCCCACTATTTACATGTCTTATGGAACTAACCCCAAGCTTCATGTTGCTCCAACCATTGCTAAGGCTTATGGTTACTTCCTTATTTTTGCTAGATGTTATTTTTAAGTTTATTTAAATGCATTTGTAACATGTTATATATAGATTTTATCTTTCTTCACACCATCTCAATATGAACTTTATGCTAAATCTCAGACTCCTCACTGCATGCTATTTGATTTAAAAGAGTATAAAATAATCTTCTTCACATATTCATATAGGCTATACAATTTAAAGATTAACCACACATTTCAATGTCGTAAAGTAACATTTAAAAAAACAAAAAGCATAAAATAATAAATTTGAAGAAAAGAAAGACTTAAGCTGCAATTGTTACATTTTGGTATCTTAGTTTCAACATAATGTAATTTTTGGCTAGTTGTCATTTAATTATGTATTCCTTACTATTAAAAAACAAGTTAATAAAAAGTCTAGTGACAATTTAAGCGCACTTTCCTTAATAAATTTTTTGTGACCGAACGAAAGGATATTTTTGAAAACTTTCTTCGGCAATATTGTTCTAAATAATGACAGAAATCGATTGGTAAATGTTTCAAGTTGCTAAGTGGTCTGGTTGCCGAGATATGGGTAAAAAATTGCATTTTTTCAAGGTTTTTTGGCTTTTACAGGAAATCCAGGAAGGAATTCCGGAATTGTTTTGGCCCACAATCATCCTCGGAACTTGCCTAACATATTTGCTTTTGGAACTAGTCCTCGATATTGCTTCGTTGAGGTGATACGACTTAAAGCTGCGGACACACATCGGACACACATCCATCCTTGACGAGTTAATAATCGCAATTGTCCGTATGGAAATTGCGCTAAAAGTAGCATTGTAATGTAAATCTAATTTAGTGAATTATTAGAAATTGTAACGTGAAAATTTTAATAAATAAAATGGCTAAAGTGTGTGGCAAATTTTATTATTATTGTTTTTCTAACAACACTTTCTGTATGTAAATTCCAATGAGGCCAATCTGTTTTGAATGCTGGGGTGTATTTTACTCTCTTGTGATGCTCCAAACCCTGTACCTGTAAGTTAGGTAAGGTCAGTGTCAGATAACTCTTGCTTGTTAGGTCTCCAGTTACAAAGGAAACATTTGACATTTTAAACACTAGTTTTACTATTTTTATCAATTACAAGTAAAAAAAAATTATAAAAATGATTGACTTATGGATGTTTTGCAGTAGTGAGTCGTTTTCTCAAAAAATATGGTTTTGCTATAAACTTCTATAGCCCAACTGCACAAGAAGTGCACAATCTGTGCTCAGATAATACTAACAATTTTTACCTATAGTCGGTGATAAATTCAGCTGGATGTAGCATATTTTCTCTATCATTAGCAGGTTTATGTCATTGTGTCACCCTCCCCACCCCCTCTACGCTCTTGTCGTCGGGATTTGTCAACTTTCCTCTTAAAAGACTATTTAACTTACTCTAATTATTATGTAAGTGGAATTATCATTTTTCTGTATGCATTTTGCCCTTTTTTTCTTGGTGTCACTCCCCTAAATGGGGTCACACGGTGTGGTCTGCATTTAAAACCAGCCTGTTTTATCCTGACTGAGCAATGGAGTTAACTCATTTGTAAGTTTGTTCTTGCCACATGAAATTAAGTTATTTAATTTTAGTATTGTTGTGAAAATTGTTGGTTCATTTAACAACACAGCTAAAAGCATGCCACATACATAATGGTGAAATAGAAATCGATTGCAACACACAACTCAAATAGAATCTAAAAATAATCCGGGAGTGATCTCCCCTAAACTTTCTCGAATATTCTTATATAAAACAACAGCTGATGGGAACTCGGGCTATAGACATGATTTTTAATCCATTTTGAATACTTAAAATTTAAAAATAGAATAAAATCTAGTAGACAAAAGAATTGCACACCAAGTTAATGCCTAATAAAAAAGTGCATAATAGTGCGCAATGTTATTAGTACTTTAAAAATTTACATTAGTTTTTTTGAGAAATCGGAAGTAGCGTAAATTACTACTTCCGGTCAACGGAAATTACTCAAAATTAAATAGAAGGTAGAGAATTAGATCTTTTACTTACGTGTGAAATTTCATTTATCTATCTGAAATAGTACTCAAGTTATAGGCTTTTGAAAAATTCAAAGTAGAAAAAATACCACTTCCTGTTATCGGAAATCGCTCAAAAGTTGATACGGATCTACGATTTTGATAAAATACTTATATATGAAATTTCATCAACCTAGCTGTAACGGTACTCAAGTTATCGTGTTTACACACGGACAGACAGACACACAGACATACGGACAGAATTGCAAAGCCCAGTTTTTCAGACTGGATTACGCATAAAACCTCTTAATTTTGATAAATCTGGATTGATAATTTTTGCCCGATTAAAATAAGTCCTCTATACTTCGGATGTGATGAAGGACTGAGGTGTAATACCGTGAAAATTGTTAAAATTTCAAATGATTTTTGTGCACGATTACAATACTTTCTCTATACTTCGTATATACGAGAAAGTAATAATCACATTTTATTGCTATGACAAAAGTAATGTCAATATTTATTTAAGAAATTAACAATAACTAAAAAGCAAACAGGAAAAAATATTGATAAACAAAACTATCTGATTATTCATAATACCGCTTATTAGTTGACAATTTAAAATACAATACACATTTTCGATAATAAAAAATGATTATTAATTTTAAAAAAATAACTTTATAGATACAATGACAAAAATAAGTTTAAACGTTACTATTTTTAGTCGTGATGGCTGCCAGTAATAACAAAGCCTAGAGAAAAATTAAAATTTTATCATTGTGGAAAACTGTGATGCTTTTCCAATTTTACATGACATTTTATAAAAATATGGTAAATATATATAAATGTATAATAAGTTTTATTAATAATTCTTAATAAAAATACTTCTAATACTATCGGTAACACTGCAGATTAATTAACATGAGTTTCTACACACATTTTTAATATAATTTTTAAAAGTGAAGGCTTAAATCCTCATTAAAAATGTGCATCAAGTTAGTTGAAAAATTACAGAATCAGCAATATGAAAAAATTTAGTAAGGAAAAGCAGAAATACTTTTGTTTTCATTATGTTTTTTTTTCGTTTAAATTAACAGTACACAATGCATATGTAAATGTGCATAAAGACCTAATATCAACCTTAGCTAATTTAGTAATTTAGTAAAATGTTGTGTTGGATATGACAAGTGATAAAAGAAACACATATTTGAACTAAGGTACAGTATACACTTTAAAATCTAACTGTTTAAGCACAAGTTTGATACATACCAACATAGATCAATAAAAATGGGGTTTAAGTCTTGATTGCTAAGCTCAGCTTGCTGTGAATCATTAGACTCAATGGTAATTTATAGAAGTGTGATAGGTGAATTTATTTCTCATGTTTTTTTAAACTACATAAATGTATAAAGTTGCAAAGGTGTATGGACAAACTGATGTAATGACAAGGGTACTAAACTATCAAAAACTTTTATGTAAGTATTACAAATGTGTAGTTTTTTAACAACCTCAACTTGACATTTTCCTATTTCAGGATCTTATTTATCTTACAGTATGGCTTTATGGCAGTAACTCCAGTTACAAAAGAAATATTTGACATTTTAAACACTTGTTTTACTGTGTTTTTATCAATTACAAGTAAAATAAAATGTTCTGCAGTCGTGAGTCGTTTTCTCAAAAACAATTGTTTTGATATAGGCCTAAACTTTATAGCCCAACTGCACAAAAAGTGCACAATCTATATATATATAATTATCTTCTTGAAGACGATAGCAAACACCAAGCTGTAAGCACGCTCCCTACCCTACCACCCCCACCCCTACATGGTCTGGTGAACTGTGGTTCACACTAAACTAAATGTTTACAATCGTAGAGTCAGGTTTAGTGACGGCTATTAGGGGCAGATAATGTAGTTTGAAACTATTTTAAACTTAGGGGAGGTAACTAATAGGAGTTTGCTTTCAGGGGGGGGGGTGTATCGTCCTTAACGACCATCTGATAGTGTTTTAAAGCAAATATTCTCAGTGGCAGCATTGGTACTGTCGAATTCACAAATTATGAATTACTGAAAAATAGAAAATAAAACAACTAAATAGCGGCGCATGATACGCCTTGGGTCGGCTCGTCCAAATTATTACTATTATAAAAGCTTATAGAGTAAGTTTAAGGTGTCAGAAAGTAGGTTCGAGTATCCATAACTTAGGATACTCCTTTTTTATGATTTTTACCTCCCCTCCATCCAAAATCGTGTCTGAACTCTGTCAACAGAGTATTTTAATTTATTTCTATTACAATTTATTAGAAAAGTTTTCTAAATTGCAAATTATCGGCTAAAATTCTTCGTTTTCTAACATTGCTTTTTTAATAATGCAAAAGTGTGACGTAACACTATCTGACATTCCCCCCTCCCCATCATCATACACCGTCAAAAATTACGGACCTTCCTCCTCCTTACGAGTGTGACGTCATTTATGGACGACACCTTGGCCTGTGGCTGTATGGATCCTGGATGTTACTTGTTTGTGTAGTTGTATAACATAAGTGCGCTTAAAACAGTGGGTGGAGAAGCATTTTTAGGACACTTGTGCCTTAATTGGGAAACGGAAAATTAATTATATCAAACAACTACATATAAAGTCGGTGATGAATGACTAAACTAATGAAAATGAAATACATGAGCTTATTTTGTGTTCAGCGTTTGTCAGAATAAAGAGGAAGTATTATGATCGTGCTGGATAATTAACAGATATTTTGAAAGATTTTACAATCTTTCACCTCTCTACTTGATCATGGAAAAGGAAACACTTTGCGATTTTGCCTGTATGTCTGTAAACACGATTACTTGACAGAGGCGTAGCGATCTCTCCCGGCGCCCGGGGACGAACTATATATATATAGGGGTCCATGGGAGAGGTTATACCCCCCCCCCCCCACAGGGCCGGCGCTACATATAAGGCGAACTAGGCCGTCGTCTAGGGTGCTGTCCGTAGGGGGGCGCCTAAATGGGTTGGAAAAACAAATTGAAGTTTGAGGGGGGTGCTAATCGAAAGTTTGACGGGGGTGCAAATCAAAAGTTTTTTGAGGGGGGTCCTAATCGAAAATTTGTCCGCGGGAAGGGTCGCTACGCCTCGATAATACGGTGGTACGGGGGGGGGGGTGGCGCTTTTAATAAGTTTTGCCCCAAAATTAGGTGTTTTGAACGGACACGAATTTTGAAAAATCATAATAAATTGTTTTGAAGATATGCACTTGAAATTTTTAGCTCCGTGCCCCAAAGTATGGAAGAAGATTATGAATTCATTATTTATTGGGCTTAAAATATAATATTTTATGGCTGGTGGAAAACCTACGAAGGGGTTAGTTTTTCAAGATGGCCGCCGTTGTCATAGTTACCAAGAAATTTCCAAGAATTTTTTTTAGTGGAAATGCATATGCGGATGTATCTTAATAAAGCTGTAAAGAAATAACTGTTTCTAACGAGTATTAAAAAAGTTTTTTTTCTACCTGAGCCCCCCCCCCCCCCCCCCCCCTTAAGCTATCCTCGAAGAACTGGATGATCTAGTATGATCTAGAAAAATTATCGGAGGACTCAACTATGACGCATTACATATTTTCTTATAACTTGCGGTAACAATAAATGCTTGATTGCACATTAACTCGAATAGTTTTTTGTTATTTTTTAAACTTCAATTCTTAACTTTGCCTTGGAGGTCAGTACAATGTGTTGCATATGTTTAATGTTTAAAAGAAATTTTAAATAATTCAACATGTTGGGGCTTAATCAGCATTTCCATGTTTCAGATGGTGTAGTTCAACTATCTGCCAACCCATGTGTGATAGACCTGGGTCTGACGTCATTGACCGTTAGGTGTGACGTCAACCAGACCAGCCAGCAGAACATGTCCGCCATCTTGTCCAGCATCGTATCACGTGCTGCCAACAGTTCCAGCCCCTACACA